TTTTGGAGTTTGTTCATGGATGGATAATTAAAGAAATAATTAGTGAAAGTTTAATTACCATGTTAGAGAAGATGAGGGTATCTTTTGTGAGTCTTGTCCTCGTTACGAATTAAAATAGAAATACTGTTGCCAAGCCAAAGTAGTAGTTGTGTTTAATTGCATACGAAGTCCATAATTGTCAGCACTAGTTAAAGCTCAACCACCCTCTAAGAAAATAGCCCATCTTTGCTGTTGTTAACGATTTTCTACCGGCTGCTTGCCCCAATTTTCTTCTCCTCTTTATTTTTTTTCCTATTACTTTTTATTTTCTTTGAATAATCTCACGTCAAAGAGAATATATAACTTTATGATCTCGTCTAGATCTATAGGATCAAATGCAATATTGATTTGAGTTTACTTTTCTCACTGTCCAAAATTTTCAATCTAAAACATCACATGTTCACACAAATGTTCGGTATCAAGTCTTTGTTATTCATATATTGCACATGTTAAGTTTGAACCAAGAAAAATGCACAAAGAGACAACCAACATCCCATTATTCGATTAAGTCTAAACATACAAAGTAGCATTGCCAATAATCATCCGATTTCAATATTGACCCCATCAATAACAACAACTTTAAAATAAAATAAAATAAAATAAAGAACTTATCATGTAATATGACAAATATTGATGTGAAATTGTGAATACTTTTAAGGCTTTATTTGTTTGACGAAAACAACTTCCAATAGGAAAATTAATTCTGGAAAAGTTATTTTTCAGAAAATTGTTTTTCAAAAAATATTTTTTAATGTTTGACAATTACATAAAAAAACCTTCGGAAAATATATTTCAAGCATTTGTTTGATATAGAAAACCGAAATAAAAAAACAGATTGTGATTATTACATCAACAAGTTTTGAGGAAACTTTAACAAGACATATTTACAATCTCACAATATAAAAATTATTAAAAGATCTTATATCCATAATAGTTCATATGCAAAAAGTTACAAAAACAAAGCATATGAGTTATTGATATGTTGATGTACCAAAACAGAAAGCATAAGTTAGAATGAAGAATATATTGAGACAGAAATCCATGGTGTTGAAATATCGTTTGGATTATAATTTTTTTTTTTCATTTGGATGTAGAAAATATTTTAAAATCAATTTATAACTGAAACTAAATCTTTTTTTGAAAGATTTTAAAAATATATTTTTAAAATTAATAAGATGCATTTAGAAAAATTTAATATTTTTTTTTATAACTAATGGCTCTAAGATTTAAATTAAAAAAATTAAAAAATAAAATGTACATTTTTAACCATCAAAACTACTTGAGATAAAATCAAATCAATATTCACATTTAGTTAAAAAATTTATGAGTAATTCTAGCATTGTTATTTTGGTAGCTCAATTAAGAATTATTATTTTTTTTTTTAAGAAATTGAACTGATAATTTAGTTTAAAAAATGATTTTATAAATTATTAGTTATCATTTGTAAATAATCATTCATTTGATTTTAAAAGATTAATGTTGGAATAATTTATAACTAATTATTTACTACAATTACTAATAAAATTTTGCAACTGATTAAAATTAGTCACAAATTATTGATTTAGTTACAAATAAATAATATTAAGAAAATAATACATTTATTAATGAATTAATTAGTTTCAAAATTTTCACAAATGATTGAAATCTTGTAATAATCATTTTTAATAATTTAAGTATAGTTTAGGTGATGTTTGGGATAATGATAAAAAAAATAGAGATAAATTATTGAAATATTCATTATAAAATTAATTTTAAGGTCTAAAAATGGTTTTTTTAAAGAATATTTGATATATTTATAAATTGAAAAATTAAATGTTAGTATAAATAAAAAAATAATAATAATTGATAAGAATTAATTAAAAATTAAATTGATATATTTTAAATAAAAAATGATAGAAAAAATTATTAAAATATATTGAAAGAGAGGTGAGTAACGCTACAACTGAGACAACTTCGTGACAGACAAAACGTTTTTTTTAGCTTGAGAGTCATTTTTTCAAAAATAATTTATTAATTTTCGTTGACTAAAAAATAAATTCTGTTAATTTTTTTTAAAAACAAAAATTAAAAATGAAAGAAAATAAAAAAATAAATTCTAAAAACTTATTTTCTTCCAAACAAGCACAACTCAAATGAAAGCTCGGGTACCAACAACAGTGAGAAACGGATTCAGGAATTAAACTGAACGAATAAAACGTGCCCGACAGGAGCACAATGCGTGGCGGCCCGTGGACGGAGCAAACATAGCAGTACACTTGCGATGCGTGAGACGTTTACAATAGTTGGACAGGTATGGTGGAGCTCGAAAGGCTTCGACCGGACGATTCTAATGGTAAGGTGCGTACTAGACTTGAAAGTCTCTGGTGAGCAGAAGCAAGGTGAGCGGACAGGCATAAAAGAGGGGTTTGTCTAGCTTTTTTCTGTTTTTTTTTTTTTTTTTTTTAAACAAACGAATTAGTTCTTTTAACCATTTAATCCATTCCGTTTACGTTTTAATTAAATTAGTAATTCTTTTTCCCAATTAATCTTTTATGATTTTTCTTTTTGTCTCTTCTCAAGAGAACGAACTTGGATCCATCACCCTATTCTTTATTTTATTTTGTTTTTAGAGAAAAAAATTGGGTGATGGCAGAGCTGATCTGATAGCCTCTAAAACTGCTTCTACTCCAGTTAGTTCTGGTAGCAAGAGGAATTCTTCCGCTGGTGTTCCACTTTCAGACCAGATCCTTCTCGTTATAGGAGTCTAGGCTTGATATTGCTTATTAAATAAACCTTGTTTCATGTATATCCAAGAAGCAACCCACTGTTTCCCCTCTCCAGTAGATGCAGAATATCGAGCTTTAGCTGTATGAGCAGCTGAGATTATATGGCTTCAGTAGCTGTTGGTTGATCTCGAAATTCCTTGACCAGCTACGCCTATCATTCATCGTGACAATATTAGCACAACAAATCTTGGTTTCAACCCAATTCTCAATGCACGCAGAAAGCACATATCGCCATGGATTACCAAGGGTCTTCTAACTCCAAGGTTTTTGAAGCTTCAGTCCAATCTGACCGAGGCTTCACCAGCGCCGGTCAGCTTGCAGAGGGGGGGGGTGATAGAGAACAAAATCCTGCTGGTACAGCGAAATATATCTTTTCTTGTTTAGATAATTCAAATCTTGATTTTGCATCCATGTAATCACTCTTCAATCACTATAATTCCTGTAATCAATCCTTAACATACGTTTATGTCAGTATAAAACTTCTCGAATGGACAACACTCACTTTTGTGCTGCGTGGCTTTCCCTGCATACCACTTGCTTAGCCTCAACTTGACCTCTCCAGACACTTTCACATCATACGGGTCCTTTTTTAACTCTTTGGGCGTCTCGGGTTACTTGATCTAGATTCCAACGAATCGATAACATCTGGATTTTGAACCACTTAATTTTGACCCATCTTGGCTCCACCCTTCGCAACTTGTTTTTCAAATTATAGTACGCACACACGAAAATTATAATGCAGGAAATGCTATGACCAATCCCAGAATCAAAGAAGTGTTCTTTCTCTTACGTACGATCTTGACGAATAGCAAGTGGTATACAAATAAAATCATAAAGAAACTACAAAAAGGAAGCACCTTTTTTCTTTTACTTTGTGATGAACGAAAGTTTTTTGATTGGCATGACATGGGGTTATCATAAACCATAATAATCAACGAAAAAATTATCCAATTTAAAACATTGGCATTAACAAATTTACATAATTTTAATCCATGAAAATTATTTGCGTAATCCTAAAAGAATAGAAGGGGAAAATAGATAGTAGCTATCAACCATTTTGCGGAAGGGACATTTTGTGAGTAATGAATGTGCAACACATAAATTTTCAGTACAGACACAGTTATTAAACCCAGTCTTAGATTTTGTCGAAATCATTCTCTCCTCTCCTTTTACTGGATTCCCTCATCATTAACACCCCTCTTTCAATTTCTCAATTATCCACGAGGACAAACAAAAAAAAAAAAAAAACGAAAAATTTGCTGACACACAAAAAAAAGGTTCCTCCTTTCTTGTAGAAACTAAATTAAACTCACTTGGGAGAGTACAGAACCTCAATACTCTCTCCTCCTTATCCTCGTTTGTCCGAACTGTACCGCCGCACATGGTGATGTCAACGTCAGAGATAGCGAGTACACTCAGACTCGCGGTTAAAGGAGCACAAATCTTATCCACAGAATGGCATTTGCGTAAATGGTGGCAAACTCTGTGCCTAGTTAATTAGCAGTCCACTACTACCCATCTCTTTAACAGGAGACTTTAGCAGAGATAAGGACACATGCATGTCACGCGAATCAACGGTCAAGATTCTCTCTACTTTTTTAACTGGTTGACTCCCACCCTTAGATCTAAAAAAACTAACCATGGTTAAGAGAAAATATTTTGTTGAGCTAGGGTTAAGTTAAGGTACTGGTCACTTGAGTTAAACTCAAAAGAGCACAAGTGTTTTTGTGTTTTTTCTGAGAATACAGAGAAAAGGAGAGAGATGAAAAATCTGAACTTATAGGAGAAGTATGTGGTGGTCTCTCTCTATAACATCAATTCATTTCTTTGTTTTCGGTTGCTATTATTGTTATTATGTTTAGCTAAGAATTTCCATTTATGAAACCTTAGATTCTCAGATCTCTGTTTTTTGATCTGTTTATGTTGTTTAGTTTTTGGATTTTTTTTTTATCGGTAATGTAATCATCATTCAACAACATTATCGTTTCATAAAACCCAACAGAAGCAAAAAAAAACCCGAAAATTTTCCTTCACTTTGTCGAGAAAATGGAGTCCTTTTCTCATTTCTAATAAAACCCATATGGTTCTTAGATCTCTAGATCTTTTTCCATTGTTGTAAAGATCGAATTTTTAGTTTCTAGATCTGGGTTCTTCTTTGTCTTTCTTCGTTTTTTTAGGGGAAGCTTTTGAATAAAAATGAATTATTTCCCAGATGAAGTGTTAGAGCATATTTTTGATTTTGTAACATCACAAAGAGACAGGAACTCAGTGTCTCAAGTATGTAAACCGTGGTACAAGATCGAAAGTAGTTGCAGGCAAAAGGTTTTTGTAGGGAACTGTTATGCAATCAGTCCTGAGAGAGTGATTGAGAGGTTTCCAGGTTTAAAATCTATTTTTTTAAAAGGAAAGCCTCATTTTGCTGATTTTAATTTGGTTCCACATGATTGGGGAGGCTTTGTTTATCCATGGATTGAAGCTTTTGCAAGGAATAATGTGGGGTTAGAGGAGCTCAAGTTGAAGAGGATGATAATATCCGATGAGTGCTTGGAGCTGATTTCAAGATCTTTTCCCAATTTCAAGTCCTTGGTTCTTGTTAGTTGTGAAGGCTTCACTACTGATGGCCTGGCTGCTATTGCTTCTAATTGTAGGTAAGAGATGCTTTGCGTTGTGGGTTTTTGTTTGATTATTTATCTGGCGTTTTGTTAGTTATTGTTGTTAATTTTCGGTTAGAAATCTTTTAAGCTTTGATATCAGAAAACTATGCTTCTTAACTTGATTTTGGTGATTGCTAACTGTTGAATATTAGTGCAAGCGTCAGACTCTGTTCGGGTAATTGTTGAATACTAGTGCAAGTTCTGTATGAGTTTTACTTGCAATTTGGTTTTGGAATCTTTTGACTGGAGACGAGGGTTATTGGGACTAGTTTTCTTAGTTTTGGGGCTTGTTTTGTAGTTTGGGTTCAGGTTTCTTTGACAGCATTGTATGGAATTCTATAGTTGTCAAATTGATGTTGGCTATGTGGTTATTAGGCAGTTAATGCTTGTATTTGTTTGCTAGCAGTTGAGCATAGAGTAAAGTAGCACTATATAAGGCTTTGGGATCCAAATGGACTAGTGGATGTAGCTTGGTATAACTTTACAGTGAAAATTGTTGGTTGATTTGTCAATTCTCTTATTTTTTATCTCCAAGCGTATGTGATTCAGCTCTATTCCTCTTATTGTTATTAATTATCCGTTACGTGCTTCCAGTGCCTATTTTATGTTATTACTGTCTTCTTTAGTGTTTATTTGTCCATGGTCAACATTACTGGCTTGCTAATTATACAGAAGGCATTTCTGTATTATTCCTATTTATAAAGGTTACTGAACTGCTTCCCCCGTGTTCTGAAAAAAAAAAAAAAAAAACTTCCCTTATGATTTCTGAAGTTTTCTTTCTAATTTCCAGTCAAGTTTTATGTAAAGTTCATTGTTAGTCCAGATGGTTATTTCATGTTTGAGGCTTCAATTATTTGTGAAAATTTTCATCCAATTTTAACTTTTTAAAAGCCTCGGCAAGATAAAATGCTGATTAAACAAGGAGCACTAATCATTTGGTTGACTTAATATGAATATTAGGAAATGGCATGAGGGGTTTCAGGAGATGTATATATAGATTTGCAAATGAGATAATTAGCTATGCTCTAACTACTTTTAATGTGTTTCTCTAACCCAGGTTCCTTAGGGAGCTGGACCTGCAGGAAAATGATGTCGAGGATCATAGAGGCCATTGGCTTAGCTGCATTCCTGACACCTGTACATCTCTTGTATCACTTAATTTTGCATGTCTCAAAGGAGATGTCAATTTAGCAGCTCTTGAGAGACTTGTGGCAAGATCTCCTAATCTGAGGAGTTTGAGGTTAAATCATGCAGTACCACTTGATATACTTCAAAAAATATTGATGCGAGCACCTCATTTAGTGGACTTGGGTGTAGGTTCTTATGTACACGATCCAGATTCTGAGACTTATAATAAATTAGTGACTGCTATTCGAAGGTGTAAGTCAGTCAAGAGTTTGTCAGGGTTTCTGGATGTTGCTCCTCACTGCCTATCAGCTTTTCACTTAATTTGCCCACGCCTGACTTCCTTGAACCTAAGCTATGCTCCAGGAATCCACGGTACTGAGCTCGTAAAGCTAATTCGTCACTGCAGGAAACTCCAGCGCTTATGGGTATGCCTGTTTACTTTCTTTTTAGGACTTACAAGTTTACTTGTTCTCGCTGTGACTGACAATGGTTTTTGCAATATCTGCAGATACTGGATTGCATTGGAGATGAAGGATTAGAAGTTGTAGCTTCGACTTGCAAAGATTTGCAGGAAATAAGGGTCTTTCCTTCTGATCCATTCGTTGGGAATGCAGCTGTGACAGAAGTGGGCTTGGTCGCTCTTTCACGTGGTTGCCCTAAGCTTCAATCAATTCTATACTTCTGTCAGCAGATGACCAATGCAGCCCTGATAACTGTAGCTAAGAACTGCCCGAATTTTACCCGCTTTCGGTTGTGCATCCTTGACCCCACAAAACCAGACGCTGTGACCAATCAGCCATTGGATGAAGGTTTTGGGGCTATCGTTCACTCGTGCAAGGGTCTCAGGCGGTTGTCAATGTCTGGCCAGCTGACTGATCAAGTTTTCCTCTACATTGGAATGTATGCCGAGCAGCTTGAAATGCTTTCTATTGCATTTGCTGGGGACACTGACAAGGGAATGCAGTATCTGTTGAATGGTTGCAAGAAACTTCGCAAGCTAGAGATAAGGGACTGCCCTTTTGGCAATGCAGCGCTTTTAATGGACGTGGGAAAGTATGAAACAATGCGATCCCTTTGGATGTCATCCTGCGAAATTACCCTTGGAGGCTGCAAGTCCCTTGCAAAGAAGATGCCCAGGCTCAATGTGGAGATCATAAATGACAATGATCAGATGGAAGTTAGTGCAGATGATAGGCAAAAGGTAGAGAAGATGTACCTGTATCGGACATTGGCAGGGCAAAGGAAAGATGCACCAGAGTTCGTGTGGACTCTGTAGGTGAATCTAGGTTGTATGTTTTTTGCCCTGCCCCGTATTTCTTTGCTATCAAGTAGTTGTACTTTGTTTAGGCCTGCTGATTTTATGGATTTTTTAGCCCGTTGGTGTTCTAGTGGCATGCTACTTTTTGTTTCTTTAATTTGTAAGAGATTTGCTACTTGATGTTTTTATAAATATGACTGTGCTAGTATTGGCATGATCAGCCAGTTCCAGCAGGAATTGGGTTCTCTAAGTACGAGTTCGCTAACGTTCCAGTTGGAAAGATGTTCATAAGACAGTCAATGGTGAGATATATACCTTTTGTAGAACCGTAGAACAGTTCTGCTAGATTCTTTAACAAAGCAAAGTCTGTTTATTAGCCACTCAGTTTTATGACACGTCGTCCCCCTTCGGAGTTAATAAGGCTGCCATGTACTTAACCTGCCTTGCTTCTTCGTAAGCTCTTTCGTCAGGTTCAATAGAAGTTCTTCGGTGAAAGAAAATTCCAGGTTTAGAAGCTAGGAAGTATGTAGTAGTGTAGTACAGCAGAAGCAGAAGCGTTCGGGAATATATTCTATCTTGTTTGTAGGCATCTAACGAAGGACTTAAAACAATAGTCAAGATCAGTTTTCTAGCAGACGATAAGCTGCAGCTCCTCTCCTGTAGTTGAAAGTGTCCTAACTTATGCTTTCCCTCCAAAAGGGGAATTTTCCTGGAATCTTCGAGCCTGACATCTTTTGTAGGTTCTTGCTGATAATAGAAGCAGTCAACCATTAGCTTACTAGTTACGACCTTAATTATTAACTTCATGGAGACCTTTTCCACCTTCCATGATCCCTCAAAATTCAAAAGTCAACAATAGTTTCAGCTTGCGAAGCATGTAGCTTTCCATGATGAGATTAAAATGAAAAGAAAGAAACGCTTTGCTAGAAGCTTTCAGCCAGGAGTAATTAAAAAAACAAGCTTTACCAGAAAGAGGTTTTATCAGGGAAGCCACATTAAAGACAATAACATGTACGAAACAATAGCCTTAAGGCATATTTAAACTGTTTTTAAGTCGGAGGAAATGACACTATTAAATTACATGTGCATAGAAACCCATACAATTATAGAATCTCTCAACAACCAGAGTCACCAGTCCCCATATACATCATTTAAAACTCAATGAAGCAGCCCAAATTTTAGAAGCAGCATTCCTCCAACACACAACAGCAGCAAAGTGCGGCCAAGCTGCACATGCAGAATAAATAATCATCATTATCACATCAATAATTAAGAGTACAGGTTGCATTCAAGTACATTTAAACAAAGTCATTACACAAAATCAAATAGATACCATGATCATAAACATTGCAGGGTAAAGTAACTGACAATTTAGCAATCCAAAATACCAACAGCTAGAATGAAAAAGTATTCACAGCAACAATTAAGCATTAAGTGCTCCCCCATTTACAATGCAAATCAATGCGTGGAAGAATGCCAGATTGCTAACAATTGTATGATAAATCTGTATGCATTTGCGGCATGAAAGCTGTTGAAAGTGCTGGGATATGGAAACAAAGATCTAATATCAAACAAGGAATGATATATGTGGATGTTCAAGGAGGAAAAAACCTCAAAGTCAATGATCGCAAGGTATCAAGTTTTGCTTTTTTTATTGTCCACATCACCCATTGTTCCAATAGGTAGTTTCATTTTTTTATCATTGAACTGTTTCAATATGATATGTGGCATGGGGAAATTTCAGCATGCCCAAATAATGGGGACTTCAAGTAGTAGGAAAGGTTACACAGAATTGATGAGCTATGATAATTGAGGAAATTATCCTGGTTTTCCAATAAGATTATAAATGATCAACTATGCTAAAGGAAACTCTTAATGAGTTAATTATAATCCATTACAGATAGTTATAGGGCATGTTTTTTTGGTCTAGTTATGTACTGCTTGAACCTCATGCTGAGCAATTGCAAAATAAATTTGAATAAGGTTGAACAAGTTTCTAAGAGGAAAACAACTTTCTAGTACTAAATTTTAAAGCATTTTGGCTATTTTGTGTAACTGTCTATCATCCCACTTACATCCTCCATTTGCTTTCTGTTGCAGACTTCTCTCTCTACTCCTACCGAGTTATGCCCAAAATTTGCATATACAGAGTTACCTAATGCCCTATAACCAGAGTTTAGAATGAATCCAAAATTGTGCTAGTGACATATTTAAACAGTTATGTATGTGTATGCATGAATGATTGTGTAAAGAAGAGCATGAGGAAAATCCAAATTGATATTCTCTTTGAGGCTTCAGTTAACAAGGAGGCTATAGATTAAAGCTCCAAGGTTTTATACTTTTGCTTCACTGACAAGAGAAAACAATAATTCTCATATAATTTAAGTAATAAATCACATAATAAAACCCAAAAGAAACAGAAGTCCAGAATTTCCTATACTAGCATCACTCTGAACTCACAATAGTATCTGCCACAGGATGACAAGGAACTCAAATTCTAACAGTTTCTGAACTAAAATCTAGTCAACGAACATCAGTCATCAAAAGCCTCATCCTGATTTGGCACAATTTGGCAACCAATTTCACCAAAACCTTCCAGATATTGAGTAAGATTCAACTCACCTAGTCAAAGTTTGTCACTTTCAAGTTAATTTGTTCCTGGGTTCTCAATCCATTAAGTTTTAGTATGACAATCCATTGACCATGGCAGCTTTTTAAAGATCTATAAGGCCTATTCAAGATCCTTCCACTGCTTTCCAACAATCGCCAATCTTTGTCATGCACTCGGAGGGTTCTAATCCACTCCATTATTTTCAGTCTCTTCAAAAGTACAGTACCAGCCAGAGATTTGACACAGCCATTAAAACCAACATATGTATATTGCTGTTAAATGTTTAGCTAATATTTCAAATTTTGTTTTCTAAAGTTAGACTGTGACGCAATCTGTAATGCAATCAGACTTCTTTAAAATATGATGGCTTTTCTTTCATTGACAATTATTTGAAATACTTTATAGTGAAGTTAGGCTGTTAAAAAAGGATTGACTAAGACCAAGAACATGCGCTCTAGCCATGCAATAGTTAGGTTTCCACAAAAGTAATTAGGTAGAGAATAGCTCCCTAGTCCTCCAGTAAGTTAGATGCTCAACCGATTCCTACATAGATCCTTTCCAAATTAATGCCATCCTACCCACCTCATATTGTTAATAAGAACCCTCAACTAGTCAAGTGTGATTCATTACGGACGGTATAAGATTGGAGAGGTTTCTAAGACAGAATTGGTCATCGACTGATAAAACAGCAAAAAACACTTCAAAATGAAACTGATGAGACTGGACACTTTCTAAGACCAAACTACTTTCTGATTATAAACATTTGAAGTTCCATCATTGACTGAATCCCACAACATCAAACAAAATTCAAGACAAAATCTCACCCAAAAAATATATATATTAAACAAAATTCGAGACTATAATAGCCATCCAATAAAACCCTATATAAAAAAAAAAAAAAAAAAAAAACAAGAGCCATAAGAAACAGAACAAGTAGAGATAAAAATAAAGGGGAAAAAAAAACATACCATCCACGAAACATCGAGGAGCAACCATCATCCTCGTAACTATGATGTTCATAGTGATAACACTGTTGGTACTGTGGCGGACCTGGAGGCGGTGGTGGTGGTGGTGGATAACCTTCAGCAAAATACCCTTGGTAACCACGTGGAGGTCCCGGTGGAGGGTATCCTGGATACCCTGGTGGCGGCGGCGGCGCCCCAGGCAGTGGGTACCCTTCGTACGGTGGCGGTGGTGGTGCTGATGGTGAATACCCTGGTGGTGGGTAAGGTGATGAGTACCCTGTCCCAATTACAATTAAAAAAATAATAATCATAAATCAGATTCTAAACTCGAAGGAAAAAAACACTAATTAGAGATTTAGGGTTTGATTACCTGGAGGAGGGTAGGGTTCGTGAGGGACTTTCTGGTAACTCATGATTTTGTATTTTTGGGCTCTCTTCAAGATTGAAGAGAAGAAAACGGGTTGGTTTTCTTCGGTTTTTTGTAAGATTTCAGATTGTAAAACTTGAAGATGAAGGAAGAAATTGATATATATATTTTTAATGGGGTTGTGATGTTGTGAGGCTGTTCTTGTTTAAGTTGGGTGAGCTCTTTCTTGTAGTCCTTGGATGGTATTTGCAGACAATAGATGCAACGGTCTTGCTTTGAAGGTTAAGTTGATACATTTCTGCCAATGCTTCGAAAATTTTGATGAAATATTAAATCTTCGTTGAAATATAATAATACTAATAGAAAAAATTGCTATCATAATGAGGAAGATATAGAAAAATATTGCTAAATAAATAAATAAATAATAAAAACGTGGGTTTTTAAATAGTAATCATTGTTCTTAAAATCCATTTTTCCTCTCTCATGTTTTTTCAAAATATTTTGATCCTCATAGTTTTAAAATACATTTTTGATCCTTAAATAAAAAACAGAGGATAGAGAAGCAAAAAGAGAGAGATGGGAGGAGATAGAAAGCTGTAGTTAGGCAAAATTTTGTTAGGTTTTTTTTTTTTTTTTTTTGCCGATTTTGCATTTAGATTATTTATTTTCATAAAAAGAGTATATTCATGATCTTTTCAAGTCATAAAATTGTTAAATTAGGTACTTTAGAGTTAAGAAAAATTTAATTTTCTGATTTGATTTATATATTTTTTTTTAAATTTAAATGTGCATTGAAATGATTTTTAAGGTTAAAAACGAGTTTATTGAACTCGTTTCAGTATTTTTAAAGTGTTTTCGGGCAATAATAATGCCAATTATGGAGCTTTGAAAATGGAATCTTGATTTTTCGATGAATTCGAATTCGTCAGAAGTTGCAATTTTTTTCAAAGGTCATATGGCCTTGTCTCTGCAGGTCCACTAGCATAGTCTTGTGCCCTGGGCATACTTCTCTGCCCAGACTTATGCCTTGGGCCTTTTACAGGCCCGTTCATAGGGTTTGACTTTTTTTTTAATTTTTTTTTTTGCAATTTAAGTTATTATTATTATTATTATTGCATTGAGTGCAGAATTATAAAAAATAATTTTTTTTTCAAATTTTTACGCATACTAATAATTATGAAACATATATAATCTTTTGAAGATTTTAAAGAACCATTTCAAGTTGTCTGGAGATTGGATGAGTACACCTACAAGATAGATTTACTTGGAGATTACCTAATCGTTGCGACCTACAAGATATGATGTTTGTCCTATATATTAAAAAAATAGAAATTAAATTCAATTGAGAGGTAGTGAGCACCATTGACCTCAATTGCCAATTTTTGATAAATAATTATCAACTTTTAATTATTTGTGAATACATATTTGATAAGATAAGCTATGGAGAGTTCTTCTAATCAAACCTTTAGGTAGTGAGTGTGGGACTTTTGGATGGCAGATAATAGAGAGAAGAAATTGTTAGTAATTGTATAAAGGATACGGTCCAATATGAAGTTTCATGGGCCAGATACAAAAGATTCACACTTCGGGCTTCAAGGACAATGATGACTGCGGGAATCCAATAACGAGTCCAGTAATGGTACATAATTTATTTATTTATTTTAAGAAAAAAGAAGACAAATTAGAGTTAGAAAGAAAGAATAGTTGATTTAGTGTACGTTTGGTAATGCCGTGTAATTGGTTTAATAAAAATATGTTTGAACTGAAAAATCATCAAATTTGATGTTTTTTAGTTATTTTTTTGATAATATAGACATGAGCATATTTAAACTATTTAAAAATAAAAAGCTTCAAATTGATGTTTTTTTAGAGCAAATGTATTTTGAAAAGCATTTTCAAATATGAGGAATTTTATAATACTCGAGAAGTTACTAGTATACATGTACGGTAATTACTTCATGGACTCATTTTTGAAAAAAAGAGAGACATTAAAAAAAAAAATCACATATCTGGACCTATCAAAAGTAATAAGAAAGTTTTGAAGTTGGCACAATTTTTTTTTTAATTTTCTCTCTTATTTATCTCTTTTTTTTGCGTCTATTTCTCTTCATAGAGTAACTTACATTAATTATTCTTTGAGTATTATAAAATTTCTCTTCAAATACCGTGTAAATATATTGCGAAACATAGTCTTAATATCTATCCTAATAAAAGATTAATGTGACTACCATAATAATAATAATAATAATAAAAGCTGAATTAAATCACTTTTTATATGAGGTATAAAAAAACACAATTTTGGCAAAAACCAAGAAGCCAATACTCCTTAACCAAAGGCTTAGGGATAATGCTCCATGTTGCAGCACGTAAACATTGACAAGTACAAAGCACATATGTTGATTTAGATTATGGCCGAGAAAATAAAAAATATATAGAAGAAAATGAAATAGAATTCAGAACACATACTAACAAATCAAAGACAGGAAATGAAACTTCAGACACGGCCAAGACATCATCCAAGGTCAACCTTGTCGCTTTCATATCCTTAATCCTTTGTTACTTATCCTCAATATTAATTAACAATGAAGAAATCCATGCTGATATCCCTAAATATTTCTGATTAAAAGAAGAGTCCAAGTCCGCACGGTTTAATGGAATATCTTGTCAGCTGCAAGCAACGGTCTCCTTCAAATGCTCTGGTCAAATCCAAATACGTATTCTCATAGCAAAAACCTCCCACAAGGCCAAAATTTTGCAGTTTTCTCTACCAAAAATGAACAGCACCAACCGAGAATCGCTGCCACTTTACCCCATTATCTCCTCACCAACATCGAAACAAGCAGGCCCTTTTCATAGAACAATGTCAGATTCGTTGCCTAGCACTTCCCATCATGCATCATCTCCATCTCCACCGCCATGCGAAGAGAGCTCGGAGAAATGGGGGACTCCTGTCATGGGGGCTCCTGCTGTTCCTACATGCCATCCAGATAATAAAAAAGCAGCCTTATGGGGTGCAGCTGATGATGAAGCTCAGTACTTCCATCATCCGTACCTCCAGTACAGCCCCATCGAAAAATCATCAGGTAGCAGAAAGGAATCCGTTCTTCAAGTGTTTAATTCTTGGGGCAACAAGGCTGAGACGATGGCTCACAATGTCTGGCACAACCGTATGTAACGTTTTCATATTCATTAAATTTCAAATCTTCGATCATTTCAGATTTTAAAAAAGATAACTTTTATGTTCACTTCATCATGTTCATTTTGTTCAACAGTTAGGACTAATTCATCTGTTCCTGGAGCTGCATGGGGCAAGATGAACCTGACAGCTAAAGCAATAACAGGAGGTGGATTTGAGTCTCTATACAAGCAGACATTCACAAGTACTAATCCAAATGAAAAGCTAAAGAAGACATTTGCCTGCTATCTGTCTACAACTACAGGCCCAGTTGCTGGAACCCTTTATCTATCTGATGCTCATGCAGCTTTCTGTAGCGACCGTCCCTTATCCTTCACAGCACCCTCCGGCCAGGAGGCTTGGAGTTATTACAAGGTAAATAAAATTGTTACAAATTAACCAAAATAAATTGTGTAATCAATAACACCTAGCACAAACATATATACATCAAGGCCTAGCAGGTTCCAAAGGGAAGTGATCAAACAATATTGATGAAACGACTATTTAAGAATGATTGCAATTTCTGTCAGAACTTGAACTGATTGCCAGAGGTTTGGCTGGAACAGGTGATGATACCTTTGAGCAAGATTGGCACCATCAATCCTGTAGTCAAGAGGGAGAATCAGTCAGAGAAATACATCGAGATTGTTGCAATTGATGGACATGATTTCTGGTTCATGGGCTTTGTTAATTTTGAAAAAGCATCTCGGCATCTAACAGAAAGTATCTCGAGTTTTGTAGGAACCATAGCAGCAGAGCCAATTCTTGTATAAAATTTGTGGCTCAACCATATCCCATTGGATTCTTTCTCAGAGAGATTTTCATGACTGCTTTTATTTTTTTTCGTTTCCATTTTAATGTTAATTTTACTTAATTTCTTTCCAGTTTTTACTAATTATGTAGCCATGAATCTTTCTTTGAGAGAATGTTACTTTATCAATCACTTGTATTTTTTTTTATTTGAATACCTGTATTGGTTCTTTTTCTATTTGAATATTTATGCTTACAAAATTCAATAAATCAAGTATCTTTATCAATTTTGTTACTGAAATTCTGGCGTGAACTCTCTGTGGTTCCATGTTGATATTTTAATTTTTTGAATAATGATATATGAAGTACTTGTATTTTATGATTTTTTTTAATTTGAGTATCTGCATTGATTTTTTTTTTTTTCTATTTGAGTTTTTAAACTCACAAAATTTAATCAGTCAAGTACTTTTGTGAGCTTTAGTTACAAAATTTATTGATGGTTGTCCCTAGGTTTCTAATTTTGTATTTTATATCATTGTGTACGCTATAAGAAATTTGTTAATTAGCGACGGAAAAAATTTTATAGCCAAAATGAGTATCGGTAACCCTTGCGCGATAGATTTAACAATGTCCCTCGCTAAAAAATATTCATGTTGCTAAATGACAACACAAGCACCTTAAAAACCATCACCAATCCATCACAAAAGTGAATGTAATCTATCAGTAATTAATGACAAAAAACTATCGTTGGTTCCGAAGCTAATATATATTACTAATCCGTCTCTCGTTTTTGTTGCTAATCGTATGTTATTTTACAACGAAATTGTTTTCCGTTGTCATTTTTTCAACCAAATTTAATTTTTTGTTTTGAAATCCACCGATCGTCACTATTCGTTGCTAGTTCCGTTGCAAATATTTTTTTATTTTCTTTAATTTAATTTTTTTTAATTTCAAAATTTTTGATATTCGCAATAGTAACTCATAATTAAAACAAATAACTTATTATAAAAATTAAAATTTTTTATTAAAATTAAAATATTATGAATTAAAATAAATTTTACATTTTAAAAAATATTCGTTATTACCTAAGAAAAAGATTAAAAACATAAAATAAAAAATAAAAGTAATTACATATTTGTAATTCCCTCTCATATTGCTAAGGCTCGATGGGAGAGATGATGGAATCCTAAAACTCACTAGGAGGGAGCGTGTCATCCCGGGACTCGATGAGAGGGACAATGGTAGGGCTCGTTAGGAGGGAGTGTGGAGTCGTCGTTGGTGGAGAGGTTAGTAAGCAAGGGAGTCGACTATGTCATCCTCTCTAACATCAATGAAATCGAATCCATCTTAGCCTCCATCCCTTAGATCTTCATCTCAGCTACATGATAATGTTGTTCTACTCCTATAACTTTTCCTACAATGCCCTAATCGTCTTGTCGTATTGAGGTGGAGGCCGTTCGGCAGCATTGTGGCCATGAAACTACGATACTACGTAAGAGTAACCGGTGCCGCTGATTGGAATAAATAGTGATCCGCCTCTAACCCCGATCCCGTAAAGCCTCTTCTTCTCCCCTCCTATAACATCGAATTATATGGCATTTGTGTCGACTTGTGGCTCCTCGGCTCCAGGGTCTTGCTGCTTCCTAACAAATTATTGTATTATCTCCTTCTTTGGATGGAACTTGAGCTGATCACCATAAATCTAAATGAATGTAATCAAGTGTACCTTTTGTAGAATGATTGTCAACAGAGAATGGCACTCCATTTTGCTTTTGTAAGACACATTGCTCACATAAATCAAATGATGTTATTTGATCACCACAAAGCAAACCATCTTTATTAAAGAGTAGTCATACCTCTCTCTCACTAATATGACCAGAAGCATATGCCACAATTGAGTCCTTTTCTTTTCAGAGTAGGAAGTAAACTTGAATTTTTTTTTATTGTACATTTTCATATTAAACTTCATTTTCAAGGAATTGAAATCTTCAACGTACCAATCTACTTGGGATTGGCTCCATGCTTGCACAAGACGAGCAGGGATTGACAACATAATGAGCTGCAATCTCCATAAACAGAGGTTGACAATCCCCGGACACCAATATCTATAGCTTCATAAACGGCAACGAATGCCCAACCAACCTACAGAATAAAAGGAAACCATCCAGCAAGCCAGACTATGAATGCTACTTGGATAACTTGCTGGCAAATGTTTTATCTTATCCAAATGAAATTTCAAGATATCACGGCCAAAAGTAGTATATAATTTCAAAATTGATAAACAGTGAATGATCATCAAAATGTACAAAGTCGAAGATGATAAATTAGTTCTTATACTGAGCAATTGGGAATCAGCTGATTCGTCGAGCACTTGCTCGTTAACAACTACGTAAAAAGAAGGTACTCAACAGATGTTCTCAGTTATAAGGGCGAAAAACCATTTAACTGGCAGTGCTCATGCCTCTGAAAATTCTAAACTGCAGAGAAGCTACTGGATCAGTTTCTCGGCTGTAATATTTTAACGTCTCTTCTTGCTTCCTTTTGCAGCACTCGATTTTGATGGAGTAACGAGCAGGTACACAAACAGAACCACAATGGAGATCACAGAAATTAGAGACCCATACTTAGCCAACAGCTTCTGCAAATAGAAAAAATCTAATTTAGGAATGGAACGAGAGTATTATTGCATAAAAAAAGTGTCATTATGGAGACTTTAAGAAGCAGTTAAAGTTGGCTGTCGAGGAATTGTTTAAATGACATCCCTGGCGTGAATATCAACAAATAATATTACCATTTAAATGATATTTAACTCTCCTTTTAGAATTTCATGATCACCAACTAGAGAGAGGTAAGGTGCTCGAAAAACGGACGATGAGGTTTTATTTCTTTTTACCCTTTTACTTGTCAAGTCAATTTTGAGTTCCAGGATGCATGTTTTAATAACTTTTAACAACCAACTATCAAGACAATGAGAAGATGATTCATACCTTTGCCTGCAGAATTTTGGCCAAACCAAAGATGATTCCATAGAACAACAAAGAAAAAAGACAAGCTTCAGTTAACAGCATAACCAAAAAAAAGAAGAGAGAGAGAGAGAGAGAGGAAGGGTAGGCCAAACATAGAATGATAAATTTAAATATTTGAAATTCCAACGAGAAACATTCCAACAAGAAACTTACCCACTCCAACTTCTGCACCGGAGGTTTGTCTGCAAGGACATCAAGTGGCAGAATGGGAGTTGAATATGCCTCCTGAAATAAAGCAGAAGTCAGAAGATAGAAACCTAATGCAAGATGGTAAGCCAAAAAAGAAAAAAAGAAAAGAAAATGAATATCAAACCTGTAGGACAGCCTTTGTGGGGATACGGAATGTAATGACTGCTGGTGAACCGTAAAACAGTCCTTTCACTTTGCCCTCCAATTCAAAAGAGTGTGACAGAAGACCGCCACTGCAAAATATAGTGTGACAAATTTAACAATGACTAAGAAATTATAAAGCTAAAATAGAAAGCCATTATTGAAAGATGGAACTCACGCATCAAGTCTTTCCCATGACTGTGAAGTGTTGCCACTGACAACATCAAACATATCTTGAGGCCAGTGCTCATCAGCAAGAGTTATATCATATGCAGTCCTGTAAATTTACAAATAAACCATTTTAACACCAAAGTAACAATATATGTTCACATTACATTTAATGAAGAACAAATTAAGTAGAGAAGTAAATTAACTACCAAGTCAAAAGATAAGGGGAGGAACCCCGCCAGAGGCCAGGGAGAAGGGGAGTGGGGTTGTGCGTTAAAAGTCAGATGACGGTGAAATGAATAAGTTAACTACTTTCTCTCTTGAAGCAGTAAAGTACATTGTGCACTAACAAGCAAAGGAGCATTTGTAATGATATGTAAAACCAACAAAAAGAATCATCATTTATATTCTCTTGGCCCATTTATGCACATAGTGATATACAGTGAAGAATAAAGGTTCTAATATACTGATCAGAAGCACCAGTGCCATAAACTCTATCAGTCAGTTACCCAACCAATCAAGCAAGTTTCCAGAGGATAAATTGAGCCATTTATAATCACGAGTTTCAGTTCATAACTCATACAGTGTGACGTATATCTTCCCATCCATTCCAGCCCGAGACCTTCATAACGGCATCTAAGGATATCAGGTGCAAATACAGCAGTGCCAGAATATTCTATTCATTTTCTTGAAAGCAGAAGAGATTTACACTCCAATTATGAAAGCTCAAAGACTATGTAAGAAAGTTGCTTTGCAAGCCTTTTATATGCACCAAAATTTTAAAAAATTTTGACATTTCCATGCAGCTACTTTTTATTAATGCTAATTTTCCTTAGTTCCTTGATGCGTCAAGGGATCAGTTCACTTTATTAATGCTACTTTATCTTAGTTCCCTGATGCATCAAGGGATCGTTCACTTTAGGAATGCTAATTTACCTTAGTTCCCTAATGTGTCAAGGGATCATTTCATTTTTTTCTTTTTAGTAAGGAATAACATTGTGTAAGGAAAAGAAGAAGGTGGAAGTTGTTGGAGAACAAGGCTTCTTCCAAAATGAACAAATGCAGATTGAAAAAAGAGAATGCTCTACCCGCCATATATGAAATAATCATTTAATTACATATATCAAGTATAAGAGTAATAACATCTCATTCTCCACTGGAAAGATTTAAAGGGAAAGCCAGAGAACATCAAAGCATTTTAAAAGGACTACATTAAAGGCAGCTTTAAAATACATTTAACACATCAATTGCAATGTCATTGAAACCTTGCCAAGCCTGCACATAAAACTCAAAGCACCAAGAGCAAAACGCTTTTCACCCTCAAACCTGAACTCATTTTCAAAATCAAGCCTGCTTAAATGCATAAAGCATGTCCATCTCGGCAAAGTACCATGATCTAAAACATCATGCTATTAATTCTCAATTAAATTTCACAATACTCAACAAAAATTACCTACGATCAACATCCTAAGCGTGGCTAGCCATCATCATTTAAACTTTGAAGTTTCTAAATTCCATGTTATCAATAGCTATCAACTTCGGATTTCACGTCCTACCATGGAAATCAATCCCAACGGTGTTAAATCGAATGCAATCAGATAAAAAAAATCCACTCCTAAACTCTAACAACTTAACAAACATCTTTTAAATCCATAATTTAATCTCTATTGTGCTGCTAATAAAAATCAAAATTAAATCAAGCCAAAACCAAATAATTCTCATGAAGTGAACCAAACAACAAATCTTCCTACTCAAACCTCTATAATTCTGCATCGTATGGAATCAAATCTAGTAATTACATCTAATTTCCTAAATTAGAAGCAATTAAACTTAGCTCTGATTCAAATTCTACTTAAGATCTAATTAAAAAGGAGCATCGATAATTAAACGCATGCAGATAATTAAAAATTGTAGATCTGATTAGAGAAGAGAAATAATCGAACTCACGAAGATCCTTGATTGTAAATATCGATGGAGACGGAGACGCTTTCAGCTCCAGATTTGAGTCTGCTGAGAGTGGCTTTCTTGTGAGCGACGATGAAGGGAACATCGGAGCTAGCGAATGCTGAGGACACCAACAGGAGAGACAATAAGAGTGTGAATAGAGGTTTTGTTGTTGTTGGATTCGCCATCTGATTTGGTGGTGGCGGTCGTGTGGTGGTGGAGAAGGAGGAGGATTGGAGCTGGATCTTGTGGTTCTATGTCAAAAATGTGGAAGAGGAAATAAAACAAAATGACTACTGCTAGGGTGCGTAATTGGTCAAGGCAACGAGTGACATCGAAACGGCAACGTTTCATTTAATAGCAACAATAAGTCAGAAATCAATTTCCGTTTCTTTTCTTTTCCTTTTTTGTTTTTTATTCATTTTTTGTGATGCAGCATTTTGTTCTTTCTTGTCTATCGATTCATTTTCTATTTTTCTTTAGCAAGTTTCGCATTTTATTTCTCTTTTTTTAATTCTTTTTCTTGGTTTGCTTTTTTATTTTTTATTTTTTTCCTTACGATAAGGTCCTCTTATAACTTTTTTATTTTTCTTGTTCGAATACCATGAATTAAGGTTATACTTATGCTATGTGTTTTTTGTTTCCGACCAAATTGAATGAAGCTAGAGAAAATTTAGAAAACTTTAATTAGTAGCCATCTTTCATCAAAATCTAGTAGACTGTCCAATCAAAATCTACCTCCATAAAGTTTAAACCTTAAAAGCTTGAGATATGACGTCATAAATTGAACCCAATAAAATTTCAAAAGTATTTGAGTTATTTTTTCTCCCAAAATGGCCTAGTTTGTACTTATATTATGGAATTTTTTTAATATATCTCTATATTTCAAACCATTTTAATTTTATCTTTGAATTTATATAAAGTATCTAATTTTTTTTTTGATAAAATTTTCAAGCAACCCACCAGAATGAATCATGAATCATGTGTTAACATTTTATTTAAATTCTTCATGACATTGTCGAACTAAGGGATACTAGGCATCACCTTCTTCCTCCTACAAGTGTAAAATATCCTCGTTAGTTTCACATCATAATTACAATTAACAATATAGAATTAATTTCCAAAAAGTGGCTCTCACCTTTTATAAAAAAAAATTCATAATCCATCGATGAAGTGTATATAAAATATATTCAATATTTATGTGGATATTCAATTTTGATCAATTATTTTTTATTTATCTTCACAAGCAAGATGATTGAATTCAATTAATTTTTAGTTTCATGTTTATGATGCATGAAAAATAGATATGAAAAAAAACTTATTGAAAAAATGATTTTTTACATATCCATTCTAGTACGTCAAAAAAAAAAAAAAACAATTGGTCTAAACAAAATACACATTAGCAACTACGTACCTCCTTTGTAGAAGCTATTATAGTTGTTACGGACAGGATCCGAAAGTGAAAAACTAAATAAAGGTGGTCTCCGAGGAGATCCGAAGAGTATGCACATTTCAACCACCTTCTTAATCTCATTAACAACCCACACATCACACCCGTTATTATCAAATGACCCACATTTCTCATCAAAAGTCACAAATAAATCAAATGGATCCAAAGTTCTAAATGGATCTCTATCCCCGACAAGGCAACCTGCGTTCTAGGAAAAAAAAATTAGGAACTCTCATATTCTAAAGCATAATGCCCGAGAGAAAAAAAAAAAGACAAGCAATACTCTCGTTTATTATCACTAGAAAGACAAAACATTTAATTAAAATTCTCTAATAATTATATTAATCAGATTGTCATTAATCATGATAAATATTAACACTATCGCATATCAAACGCAATGATATCAAAATACCATAAATTATTGGCTTATCCACTAATGTCAAAAAGAAATAACGTTATTGTTCTTTTTACCATGCAAGTTCCACTCGCAAATTGCCTATATAGAACCAAAATACCGGAGAGTAAAGGATTTGAAAAAAATTCCAAAACTCGTTTCAGCTTTTCATTCTAAAACAAATTCAAAACGAGGTTAAATTCCTTGAACAACTCTCTCTCACGTGCAAATTACTCTTATATAGTCCAATATTTTCTCTAAATAAGTTTTTTTTTTTATCAATTTGTTACCTTTCGACTATTAACTTAATAGTCGGAGGGTCTCTCACTTAATTAGAAAGACTTATTTAATGACATTTAATATAAAGAAATCATTCATTATTTTCAATGCCATTAAAACATTACCATCGCATATGTAAACCATGTTTTTTAATTTTATCGGACGAGTTATTCACGACTAATTGCATTCCTTTTATAAACATATATATATCATCATCACGGGTATACCACTATGATCGTGGATCCTTCCTTTTTCTCGCAAACACATTTGTTAAAGGTAAGATAAAAACATAAGTGGCTCTATTCATGTGAAAAAAGTTGAAGGCTTTAACATAATGGTGCAATCACAAATTCCAAGAATAAGGAATTAAGAGAAAGGTGCTAGGAAATCACTTTTATGGATTCAAAATAGTTGTAACACAATACAAATGACAATTTCAATCACAAGTCGCTATCGAATGTGAAGGTTTTACAAGAAATCCAAGAAGAATTCGAATCGAGAGAAGTTAAGAAGAGGAAGAATTTCGCAGAAGAAAAATCGAAGAGGGAAAACACCCAAAAATCTGCGTAACCCCCAACCGAGTTTTTCCCCCTTTTATAGCCTTCCCTCCTCTAATTAACAAACTCCAACTCGGCTCTTAACAACTTCTTAACAAACTAACCGCTAATTAACAAACGCCGCCTAGCACTATCCGCGTGAACCGTCAACTCAGCCTCCTAACTTGCCACTTCGCCTTCAACTCCTCTCGTTTATTTCCTTCTTTATTTCCCCGCTCGCGATGCATGTGTTTCCCCAACATTTGCCTCACAACATTACCCCTCCAGCTTAAGCAACCTTGTCCTCAAGGTTGAAAGCGAGGAACCGTTCGGCCAAATCGAAAGCAAATTCCCAAGTAGCCTCCTCCGGAGTTCCATTAGACCACCTGAATGAGCAGCTGAGTTGCGTACTGGTTCCCCTTTTCACCATCCGCCTATCTAAAATTGCCACCTGGAGAGATATGGAACTCCGCAGAGCTAGGTAATCCCTCATGCACCGTAAGCCTACGCGTACACCGGCTTTAGTTGGGAAACATGAAAGGTAGGATGGATCATGGAGCCGAAGCGGAGTCGCAACGTGTAAGCAACCTCACCTACTTTATCAATGATCTTATAAGGACCATAATACACTGGGGACAACTTCGGTTCCTTCGTGAACCACCGTGTGCCGTCTATAAGCTTGAAGTTTAAGGTACACCCAATCCCCAATGTTAAAAGTCCTTTTAGACCTCCCCTTGTCCGCTTGCCTCTTCATTCTAGTCCGAGCCTTAACCAAATTGTCCTTAAGAACTCCAATCACCGCTTCCTTATCCCGCAAAAACTTATTCACGTCCGCCTCTTTGCAATCATTGGTAAAGTAAGGTAAATGCAAGAGAGGGTGATACCCATACAAAGCTTCAAATGGGGATCGTTTGATGGAAGAATGAAATGAGGTGTTATACCGATACTCGACGAAGACACAACCACCTACACCAAGCACTAGGTAGAGATGAAGTCATACACCCGAGGTATATTTGTAGGCATCCGTTTACTACCTCTGTTTGGCCATCGGTTGGGGGTGGTAAGCGAGTGGAGAACTCGAGTGACACCCCTTGATAAGCAAACATCTCCTTCCAAAATCGACCGAGAAAGATGGAGTCTCTATCCGAGATAATATTCGGGGCAACCCATGTAGTTTATAAACATTCTTCATGAAAGCCTTAGCCACACTACTCGGCAGTATAGGGATGAGCAAGTGGCATGAAATGCGCATACTCGGTGAGACGATCCACCACTACAAATATTGTAGATTTCCTTGAGATGTTGGCAAGCCCTCAATGAAATCCATGGTGATGTCAAAAAAATGGCTTGGGGCACTCGGTAATGGATTTAAAAGACTAGGAGAAGCCATATTTTCATACTTACATTGTTGACGGACATGACAATGCCTCACAAATTCTCTAACCTCTCAAATTAAGCCCTTCCAATAGAACCACCGAGCCAACTTCTTTGTGGTCACCGCCACCCCCGAATGACCTCCTACCGCTGAATCATGGAAATATGAAATGATTTCCCGATGCAAGGCGAGATCTCGTCCTACAACCAGCCTTCCCTTCCTACGCAACCGCCGATTCCGCCACTCGTACTTGGGATGCTCTACCTATGAGTTCCGTAATTGAGACACAATAGCCGCAATGGTAGGGTCGGACTTTCAAGAGTCTTTAATTTTCTCCATCAAATCGGTGGAAATTGAAGAAATGGCCAATTCAACCTAACCGGACCCTCGATAAAGCATCCGCCACCACATTCTCCTTACCCTTCTTGTAGACAATTTCATAGTCATACCCCATCAACTTTACTAACCACTTAAATTGACTAACAAGTATGTATGTTCTAATCTAATAGATGTTCGAGGCTTTGATGATCGGTACGAATAATAAAATGTCTATCGCCTAAGTAAGAATGCCATTTTTTTACCGCAAATAGAATGGCTATCAACTCTTTTTCATAAACCGATAGAGATTGATGTTTAGGAGAGAGTGGCTTACCGATGAAGGCTATTGGGTGACCTTTCCGCATAAGCACAGCCTCCTATTCCCATGCCGGAGGCATCGGCCTCAATGATAAATTCCTCATGCAATCGAGGTAAAGCCAACACAGGGGTGGTGGTCATAGCCTCGCTTCAATTCTCGAAATGCTACTTCGCGGAAGGGCTCCAAACAAATGCATCTTTTTTTAGCAAATCAGTTAAAGGTTTAGCTATCCTTCCATAATTCTTCACGAATCTTCGGTAGTAACCAGCTGAGGCCCAAAACCCTCCGAGTCGCTTCGCATTTATAGGTACCGGCCATCGCTACACCGATTCTACCTTCTTAGGATCCGTCCGCACCCCTTTGTCGAGATAAAGTTCCCTAAGTATTCTACTTTGGAAGTTCCAAAAGTGCATTTAGAGTATTTTGCAAATAAGGTGTTCTCCCTTAGTATCGACAGAGTGGTTTTTAAATGAAAAACATGTTCATGCATATTTTTACCGAAAACCAATATGTCATAAAGAAAAAACCAAGGTGAATTTTCGTAAAAATGGTCCGAAAACATCATTCATGAGGGATCGAAAAGTACTTGGAGCATTGGTTAACCCAAATGGCATAACCAAGTACTCATAGTGCCGATTATGAGTTCCGAAAGCTCGTTTTGGGAATATCGAAACATTCATTTGAATTTGATGATAGCCGACTCTTAGATCAAGTTTTGAAAACACTACCGACCCTTACAACTCTTCTAATAACTCCTCAATTACCGGAATTGGAAATTGATCCTCGACGAGTAAGTCGATTCAGCCTCCTATAGTCCACACACATCCTCCATGTGTTATCCTTCTTCTTTACTAACACCACAGAAGAGGAGAATGGACTGGTGCTAGCTTGAATAATTCCATTGTCCAACATATCCTTAACTTCGTCGTTCAATCTCATCCTTTTGAATAGAATGATACCTATAAGGTTTCATGCTTACCGGTTTAGCCCCTTCCGTAAGTCTTATGTGGTGATCATGGTTTCGTGGGGTGACAACCCTTTCTGCTTCCGAGAACACGTCACCAAATGACTCCACCATCGACCGCAATTCCCATGGAATCCGTCGCTCTAACTTTGTTTCTTTTTTTCTAATTCCCACACTTCGAGCTCCATCGCAGCACTTAATTGAATCCAATTAAGTGCTCGCTCGCTAACATATGCTCTTATCTACCTCCCTCTCTTCTTTATCGTTGCTTTTGTTTCCACATCTCCCCAATAGTGTCACCGGCTTGCTACCCTTTCCAAACCTCATCCACAAACCCCGAAAATTCCAAGTAATATCCCCTAATGTGTAAAGCCAAGCTACTCCTGAATCATGTCGTATAACCCCAATTGCATTACAAACACGAAGTCTCAAAAACTTCCCCTTGCATTTTCCACTTAAAATTTTTGCACTTATAGTCACATGTAATTTCGCACCATCCGCTACTCGACCGTTATTGGTTCAATCCGAATAAGCTTACACTCGGTTTCTCCTTGCAAATTCTAAGTCTATAAAATTGTGTGTGCTCCCCGTATCCACCAAAATAGTCATCCTCCTTCCTTGAAAACTTCCTATGACCTTCATGGTTTGGTAGTGTTCCCCACCAAACACTACCCGGACCGATATTTGGCAAAATTCCCCAAAGATAACCACTTGGATCCACACTTCCCTCACCTAGCACTTCCTCCATACTCACTTCGGTATCTTCGCATTACTACTCTCTTCCACTTCTAACGTTAACATTTGCATGCCTTTACACCTATGGCTAGGAGAAAATTTCTCATCGCGAAGTAACACAATCCTTTCATCTTTCTTTCCTCCATTTCGTGTTATTAGGCAGCCGTTTGGTTCCGAAAAAGGAATTATTGTGTTGGAATTGGTTTGGTAGAGGCAACATGACACTTTTGGTTGTTTGTAAGGTTATTTGGATGGTTCCGGTGTGTATCGGGGTAAGGGAATACGCGAGTCCGTTGTTACCGATATTGTTCGCCCTGGCATTAAAAGGAAGAGGGTCGTTGTTTGGCCTTTGGTTAAACACGGGGAAGAAGCTCTAATATTGAGTCCGTTGGGATTATAGTGAATGTTCGGATTGGTTTCTTGTAGTTTGGCTATAGCTATCGCCTCTTTCAAAGTTTTTGGTCTCATTACCCTTACCGAAACCCGTAATTCGGGTTTTAACCCCCCAATAAAGCGACTAATGATATACTCCTAAGGTAAATCCAGCTCTATTAACAATGTAAATGAAGTTTTTTAGAAAGGATCGCACATCCCGCACTTGTTTAAGCCCTATCAACTCAGCCATAGGATCCCCGAATATCGTAAGTATCGAAATGAATACTCATAGCCTCAATATAGTCTTCCCATTTGATCACCGCCCGCTCTTATTCATTCTCATATAAACTCGATGCCATTCCAAAGCTTCTTCCTCTGGTGTATGGCAGCCTAGGTTCACTTTAGCCTCATCAGAGTTTTATCAACCATAAAGAACTTCTCACACCTAAAAACCCATCCCTCAAAGTCATTCCCCGAAAACCTTGGAAATTCCACCCTAGACATCCTAGTGTTGAAGTTATATCCCACCCCATTATCTTCCAACCCAAAGATTCATACCCCGCATTGAATGACCATACCTAGGAACCTCGCATTCCCTCATATTTCCATTTCCTAAGTTTTCCGTCATGTTATCATTCATTTTCTTATGTACGGTAATCGCTAAGCTATTAACCAACTCTTTTAATTCTAAAAGATCATGATCATGCTCGTAAGGAAAGGTCAATGACTACCTTTGTAAGATCGGCCATCGACTCCTCCATCTTCTTGAAATCAGCATTTCCTTTAGCCATGATTGATGTCGTAAGTGTTCCACGAGCGAGAGAATCTTGCTTTGATACCAATTGATGCAATCACAAATTCCAAGAATAAGGAATTAAGAGAAAGGTGCTAGGAAATCACTTTTATGGATTCAAAATAGTTGTAACACAATACAAATGACAATTTCAATCATAGTCGCTACCGAATGTGAAGGTTTTACAAGAAATCCAAGAAGAATTCGAATCGGAGAGAAGTTAAGAAGAGGAAGAATTTTAGAGAAGAAAAATCGAAGAGGGAAAACACCCAAAAATCTGCGTAACCCCTAACCGAGTTTTTCCCCTTTTTATAGCCTTCCCTCCTCTAATTAACAAACTCCAACTCGACTCTTAACAACTTCTTAACAAACTAACCGCTACTTAACAAACGCCACCAAGCACTATCCGTGTGAACCGCCAACTCGACCTCCTAACTTGCCACTTCAGCTTCAACTCCTCTCGTTTATTTCCTTCTTTATTTCCTCGCTCGCGATGCATGTGTTTCCCCAACGATTTGCCTCACAACACATAGTTACCAAGACCTTAAACAATTTTCTACTACCATGCATTTCTATTTTTTCAATACAACGTAATGTACTCGTTGTCGAGAATTTCAATCTCAATTCATTTAAATAATAAAATTTATTCGCATCAAATTTTCCCGCGTAAACCTAATTTCATAATTATGTTTTATTTATTTATTACAAAATGTAGGATATTTCAATCTAATTTCACCTTTTAACTATTTTCATTAAATTCATAAAAAAAAAAAAAAAAGAGTGTGCTTCCCCAGGCCTCCAAAACGACCCATAAGTCGTAGGCTATACCTGGGCCGAAGGTGTAAGAGATTATTACAACACGCTAAGAAAGTAGGCCAAGCACAAGATAACCCATTTTCCCTTAAGCATTATGGATATGGGCCGACGGAGAACTCGCCCGTTTGACATCTCCATCAAAGCCTTATCTAGTAGCATTTATTAGTTGGATGCTCGTGTAAATCAAATCTATTTATAGAGTAAAATCATTTGATTTGTAGTTATTTATTAACAAAATAATCAATAATATTAGAATAAATAGTTATATTTGAATAATTAGGAGGTTCTTTTAAAATATTATTTTAATTGTTTTATTTAAAAAATACTGATTTTAGAACATAAAAAAATAATAAATAACAAATAATTGATATTTGTGTCCGGATACTTAATTGATTTCAACAAAACTAATAATTTAGATACACACATTATGATCATACTTGACATATTTAGAGTATATAATATAAATAAAAAATATTAAAAAAAACCTCCTAAGTTGTATGGAATATATTAAAGTTAACGATTAAAATAAAAACTACTACAAAATTAGTTCTGATAAATTTTGATTATATATTAACAAAGAAAATAAAAAACATGAATTATATTTTTTTAATTTATTATTAAAAAAATTAATTGAGTCAAATTATCCAAGACACACTTTAGCTTTATAAATCAAATTAGTTCCCATATATATATATACATATATACATATATATACATATATATATATATATATATATATATATATATATATATATATATATATATATATATATATATATATAACGCCTCTATCACTTAAAAATTATAAAAATCTATCATATAAATTATAATAATATATTAAAAAAGATAAAATAATCATGTTCCAAAATTCATATAAAAAAAAACTATATTTATCACAAGTAAATTATATCAAAAAATTTTAAAATTAATTTCATGAGACTTTTGATAAAAATTAATAAATTGAAGAAATAAATTTTAAATAATAAAAATAATATGATATGATATATATGTTCAATATAAAATTTTAAAACATATCATATATATTTTACTATTGTTAAACAGTAAGAAAAACTTTAAAAAATAAGAACATGTTTTTATAATTTTTACATCTAATTTAATAGCTCCCGAGATACTGCATATTGGGTACGTACACAATTATATTGAATTAAAGTTTAAAAAAAAAAAAAACAATCAATAATAGAAGAAAGGTGAAAGAGCAGGCATTGTGTTGGGGAAAACAAAAAGAAAGTGAAAGTTCATTAATTTGGAGCATTGAATGCTCCGGCAAACACAAAAGAAAATTACAAAAAAAATGCATAAAGGCAGGAAAAAAAGAAGAATAAATAGAGGGTGACAAAGTAATATAACACAACTTGTTAATGGCATAAAAACAATTAAATGAAAAATAAAAGAGCAAAAAACCAACAACTTGTATAATAATAAAAACACCTAGACAATTAATTTAATTCTACACCAAAAAGTTTGGCAATTACTGGCCTATCCTGTGCCCAAGGACCAAACACATTGCATACAAGCAAGAACCAATGACCGAGATACAACAAAATAAGTAGAATAGTTGATCAATGAGTCTTAATTTATAGTTAACATGAGCCATAATGTATGATAAATAAATAATAAATACCTCAGTTTTTTTTTTAAATCTTTTTCTTGATATATATAAATATATTTTTTTAAAAAAAAAAAGGAAAAAAGTATTGCTTCCAAACTAAACTTTCCTCAATGTTTTTTTCTTTTTCCATTCAAATTTGTAACAGTAAATTATAAATTAGTAGTTTTAGTTTTAACTTAGTATTGAAAAAAATTAATTAATCCTTTTTTTTTCAAAACTAATTTTTTAATTTCTATATTTTAAAATTCCATTGTCACTTAATATTAAATTAAACATGATTAATGCTTATTAAAAAACTAAATAAAATTAGTTTTTGAAGATAGAAAAGAACTAATTTTTCAGAAATAGAGAAACTAATTTACAATTTACTCATTTGTTATGCTAGACTCTTTAAAACCATTAACTGAACGTGATACTTATCGATAATCAATCCATTGTCCATTTTATGAAATTTCGTTCACGAAGAGTGGCATTTCTCCATTAAGTATGGGCATAGCCAATCTCCTCTCACTCAAGTTGGATAAGGAATCAAGGTGACGGACCTACTGAAAATGATATGGAAAGGTGAATCTCGTCATTGAATTAAGAGTGGCTCATCATCATCTATCTGTTTACCAATATTGTATAATAAAAAATGAGGAATTCATTGAAATATATTCAATAAAAAATTATTAGTAATTATTAAAAAAAAAAAAAAAAGTTTGGCGATATGATTTATATGATCTCTTTTCACATATGAATTTTCTATACTTCCATTTCAGTTGTGTCTCAAAGTATGAACTGAAAACTAATCTCAATGCTCATGCAGCAAGTAGTAAATCATTTCATGTATTAGTAGATAACACCCACATAGAAGGTTACTCCGTTCGTGAAATCACGAGTATAAAGCAGGGCTTGTTGTGGAAGAAGATAAGAAGGCCTAGCATGACAGAGAAGAGCCTGTCAGGCTAGCCAAGGAGACTGCCTGGCAACCAAACAAGAGTTTCACGGCATTTAATTCCATGCATATTTCGTTCTCTTTATGCGCAAACTCTTGCAAGTAGCAGGCAAGTCATCCTTGGCTATCAAACAAGGATCTTATCTTCATGGAAGGCCTCTCTTCCTCTCAAATTGATTGCCAATGCACAGTACAATTGTTAGTTTATGAGACACCAAGTAGCGTGATCATCAGGGCCTTGTTGGTGACGAAAAGAAGGCATAGCATGACAGGAAAGAGCCTGTCAAGTTAGCCAAGGAGACTGCCTGAGAGCCAACAGGGGTTTCGAAATTATATATGCCTGCATTTTCTGAAACCTCCAGGAAGGGAGCAGGCAAGTCATCCTTGGCTACCAAACAAGACTCTTTACCTTCATGTTACGCCTCTCTTCCTCTAATAAATTAATGCTATATATGGACCTGTAGCTAGCAACTCCATTTGGATGCTGAAAACAAATGTTTTCAGTTTCCATTTATAGCCCATATAAGAGAATCAATACCAGATTCTTATCATGAATGGAAAATCATTTCTGGTCAATTATTTATGTGCCTCATCCCTTATAAGTTTGGTTTCTATATTTTCCTTCCATAATTTAACCTGCCCATAATGGAATATATTCTTCTTTCCCAATTATTTTGCTACATGTCGTTAATCTCAACGGTGGAGATAGAATTTCTGTAGACAGAAAGCCCAGAAGATTTTGATCAATCTGGCTCTATTGGTCATCAGGCGCGTTAGCCAGGCAAGACCGCAAGAGGCAACTTGCATCTGACTTTTAGATCTTTCACAGGAGACGTGTATTAATGCTGCTATAATCAAGGTATATCTTATCTCCTTGATCCAGTTCCGTCGATATTGGGATATGTACAGTGTCAGTTCAATTTGGCTTCACTAATTTCCTGATATTGAAAATAGTTCAGTTTTAGCTGTGGCAATTTGATTTTAATGAAAAATGTACTCGGATTAACACAACAATTTGGCTCTGACCTGATATATTCTGCCATGCTGTTATGATTATCTTTTTCTTAACTCTTATCTCCTCGCATGGGCCTCTGACCTGATTTATTCTTCTTTTTCTAGTAATTTCGCTGGCCTTCTCAAATACCTTAATTGGAGGGTATTCCATGGCTTCACGAAAGGGTAAGCATCACAAAATCTAGAAAAAAAAGAAGATAACCTGAATTCTGACGAAAAATTGGAGGGTATTGCATGGCTTCTCTCTTAGACTTTTTCGATGCTTTAATCTTGAACGCACAGGATTCCCAAGGCAATGCCAATCCACTAGCAATCACAGATGCCCCACCGAAAAATTCAGGTCAATGGCGTTGCCACCAAATAAAGGTTCTATAATTCTATTGTTCCGATTGACTTTGAGATCGAGGCACACGTTAGCCCTTATGCATTGAATTGCTTTATCGCCTGTTTAAAGATGAAAATTGATAGGCAAGAGAATAAAACACATTATTTCATGAAAAATGATAAACTTTTGGAGTCACTAATTTACACAAACATACATGTAATGGCATAAATAAATAATAGATAAGTATCTACCATAAAAGTTAAGTATTTTTAAAATAAAATTTAATTTTAATTATCAAATTTAATATAATATTAAAATTTTAAAAATACCCAATAATATACTAGAGACAACGAACCTAAAAGATGGACGAACCCGACAAAGATCTTGTAGCCGGTAATCCTCAAAGATAGGTTATAAATAATAAATAAAAATAAATAATATGTAAAGTTGAAAATTGATTAGGTTACAAATGATATAAACGAGATAAAAATAAATAATATAAGAATTAATCATCTATTATAAGATTTAAATTTTTTTAATAAAACACAATTTTAATTATATAATTTAATATGCTATTAGAACTTCAAAAATATCCAAGAACATATTAAAAATCCTAAAATCGAAGCAATTTGACGGATTTTTAAAGATAAACTTCAAATGAAGGAAAGTATTAAAAAAATGATCTCACAATTGAATAAATAAAGAATATATAAAATTGAGAATGGACCATCTACATACTATAAACTTTTTAAATCTTTTGAATAGAATTCATTTTCACCCATAAAATTTAATGCATATATATGAACTTTCACCTATAAAATTTAATGCATGTATATGAACATTTTGTGTAAACTTTTGTTAACATGTTAAAGTTTGCTCTTTTTTTTTTTTTTTTTTTTCAAAGGACTGATCTGGTGGTTAAAAAGATTTGACTTTTTTAAGTTTAATTTTGAGATCATTATCTAGAAAAATTATTAAATTTTTTTTAATGTATCAGACCAATAATATGAAAGATGCAGTCTTTTAAAATTATTTGAAGAAAAAACTTAGTTTCAAAAATTGATGCAAAATAGTATTGCCTTCAAATCAAGAAAATATGCTTAATATCACGAAATTCTTTTAACAATCGTTCACCGTTGCACAATCCCATTAATTGTGATTTGATTTCATTCAACTTAAAGCTCAATCCATTATGTGTTCATGCCCCTATGCAGGAACGGTAATTTATAAATAGCAATACTCTTATTTCATGTCTAAGTTCTTCTAATATATTGTCAAATAATTAAGTCGTTGGGCTTGCATATTTGCGTAGGGGTTGGCGGTTGGCTGCCATACTGGTAAATAAGTTTCAAACTCTCTATTAAAATCTATAGTAAACTCTAATGATTAATCCAATAATGATAATTCCTTTGTCTATATTCAAAATTTTAAAGGTAAATATATAGTTGAATCTGTTTTTATAAAATAGTTGAGTTTTCAATTCGTTTTTATGTATTTAATACATTTATTATGTTCATGAATAATATTTAACTTTTCAATTTGTCTTTCTGATTCTAACCATAAATAATTTTTTTGATTGAAAAACTTCTAATTGAAATGCAAAATAAAAAAAAAAGAAATAAAAGAAAAAAATCACTTAAAGTCACATAAGATACTTGTTTTATTTTTAAAGTCTTTAATTTAGTTTTTTATATATATATAATTTCAATCATGAATATTTTGATAAAAAAAATTACTTATGGTTGAAAAAATTGATTAAAAAGACACATTAGAGACTCAACTATTATTCAGATATGTAATAGATGTAATTAAAAATATAGAGACAAATTAGAAACTCAAACTATTATATAATGATAAATTGAGCTATTTATCCAAATTTCAAATATAATTGAGTTTACGAGATATATATATATAAGAAAAGGTAGTCTGTTTGTTAAGATATTTAGTACACTAAACCTTTACTTATGATTTATGTTTTCTATAAATATACTCAATGTATGGTTTATTGTTACTTATCGAGCTTAAGGATTGTCTAAGAACTGCATTATACATTTTTTTCATAAAACTATTATACATTTTGTTATAAAACTAGCATTGTCAAGAGATATTAACAAATGAAGATAATGATAAAATTCATATGATTATCCTGCTTTTTTCTTATATATTTTTGGTAAAAACTTTTCATTTTTCTGCTTTTTATCATATGAAATGGGTTTTTTTTTTTAAGCTTTTTTGTAGGATATTTCACATGTGATGTGAGAACTTAAAAAACTTTTTATCGAGAATGTCACATCTCACATGAAAGAGTATAATAGAAAAAGTCACATGTCATTACAGAAATAGATATCCTTTATTTTCGTTATATTGTATAGATATAGTTAGATGGCATACATCAATATCAAGTGTCATAACCTAAGATTTCCTCAAAAAAATTTATTTTTTTATTTTTATTTTTATTAAATTGCTATTTTTATTTTACTACCATCTTTACTTATTTGTTTGCTTTATTTGTTTTATACTTTTATTTGTATTTGCATGCCCATTTCATTTGGGAATCTACTACCCAAAATACATATATATATATATATATATATATATATATATATATATATATATACACAAAAAATAATTACATTAGGAGCATAATTGAAGCAAATAGAATTGAAATTGAAGCAATTGGGGATACAATTGAAATGATTGAAAATCCTAAGACTGAAATTATAAAAATCGGCGACCTAATTGAAAAAATAAAAAGTATAGGGACTATAATGATAACAAGACTGAACCTATAAGGACCTAAATCAACCTAAGATACAAACAATATGACCAATTTGGATCACCCAAACGACCTGTCGTCCAAGCTCTTTCAGCAAAACTCCAACAGGGCAGTTCCTGCATCCTACCATCCTTTACCTCTGTTCTTTTCAATCAGTGAAAACAATTGGCCAGAAAGAACAACAATGCCAGCTCCTCTCTGTCATGCCGCACTTGCAGCAAGATCACACACAAAATGCACTGCACAGCACTAATAGAACACTCAAAAATTAATAAATAACTTATATTCTTAAATAAATAAAATTTTCAACAAAATAATCATTAAATAATTTTTTGAGATTTCCTCGAACATTGAGAATTGATATCAAGGATAACTCTTCCGCCTTTTTCTTAAAAAAAGAAGGAGGGAGGGAGAGAGAGAGAGAGAGAGAGAGAGAGAGGGGGGGGGGGATGAGAGGGGGATGACATTCGAACTTATAGCTAAAAGAATCGTGGCTTCTCAGTATCCTGAGTCCCAATTAAGAACTTAGTTTTTTTTTAATGAATGAAACAATTAACTTTTCAAAACAGAATAAAGGAGGTCCAGTTCGATCGACCCAAACAACTTCAGCAAGATATATATGTTACTTATCTTTTTTCTACGTACCATAATTATTCTTAAATTGATTCCATGCAATCTCTGGACTACAACAAGAATGCACCACCTTTCCGCAAGAATTGATGGGCTTAGTTGTACTGCATATATTCTATGTAAAAGAAATCTATCAATTAAAATCGCATGCAAGGTGGAACTATATATCTTTTAATATGGTTTTATCGCAAAAACTAAAAGGACAAACTTGAAAATGATTCAAATTTAAGAAAGATCGGAGAGAAAATATTTTATTTTTTGGAAAGAAAAATTCATAATAGAAAGACTAAAAATAGATTATTTTACTATTATGGGGATGCAATAATTCCCCAAAGCATAGGCTAGTTCGCAGGCAGGGGATGCGCAATGACAGTCCATCAGGACCAGCACCGTTTTTTTGGGTACAAGGGACTCTTTTGATGGACCACTAAAATAATAAAAAAATTAAACTATTAGCTAGAGAGACCCAATAACATTAATAGGAGTTTATATATATATACTCCTCGCTGGCAACTCTTTTGATGAACCAAATAGCAGGCCCAGGCCCAATCTTGTGGGTTTTTTTGTTTCCTTATAAGCAATATTTACTTAACTAGTAATTATTTTTTTATTATTACTAAAATTTTAGATTTTATTTTTTAAGTATACTGTCAAGGGTAGCTTTCCCGCATTGAGATTAAATCCACCTCTCTTATCAGGTCACAAGTAAACTGTTCATACTAGAAATGAGAGTTTACGAATAAAATTTTATGTTGGTTTATAGAAAAAAAAAAAAGGTACAGTAAAAGTTAAGAAAGAAATGTACTTTGCACCATAAAGTTTCAACCGCACTACATTTCACTTTTTACTAAAACAAAAAAGAAAACATTAGCTTACAAACATATCATAACAAAACTACTTACAAATAGGTGCATTAAACCAAAAATAATGAATTATTCTCATAACATAATTAAATAATTAATTGAACGTAATTCTTGTATGATTTTGTTGTAGATTCTTTTGTGTATGATTCAATTAAGAGGAATTTGAAACAAAAAGTTTAAAGATAATTGGAATGTAGTCTATAGGACAACTTATTTTTTAAACTTTGAATTAGACGGCTAGAATTATTAAATAGGGTTATCCTACTATTGATCCTAAAGACATTCAAACAGTTGAAATAAAAGTAGTTACTACCTACACTAGAATGCAATGGCCTAAAATCCTTTGAAGAGGTTTCTAAGTTGTTTAGGACGGTTGGACGAGCAAGATTGGAAGGCAAGTATGTCGTAAATAGAATAACTAGAAACTAATATCTTAGGTATTTATAATAGTATATAATCAAAATAATTAAATTGAATTGAGAATAAGCAATTTAACTAATAACAAATACACAAATTAAAGAATGCAAAGTTGACGAGAACTTGAAATTGATATAAAATAAATAAATACTTTTATAAACGACAATGACTTTGCAAATGTAATAACTTATAAGCATAAAGAATAACGAGCAAACACCAATTGAAACTTCAAACATGAAAAACGGGATTGTGTGCTACAATAAGAGTGAAAATTAAACCAAATATGAATTCCCGACCTTACTGCTACTACTTATTATTACCGTCTATTGATTACTGCTTATAAACTATAGTCTATTGTGTTTCAATTGTCTTCTTGTGCAACAATTGTTGCATTAGAGGGATGAGTTTCTTCACATTCATCTCATGAAAATGAGACTTTATTCGTTCTTTTTGGTGCCATCTAGAATATAATTCACATTGTGGTTGTCAAAAAACCATTGTTGATTCTTTTCGTCAACCTCAATTAAGAGAGCTTTGAAATAAAAACATTTAAAAGATGATTGAAAGACGATCGCATGATAACCTATCTTTCGGACTTTGAATTAGATAGCTAGAATTATTAAGTAGGCTTATCCTATTATTGATCCTAAAGACATTCAAACTCTTGAAATAAAAATATAACTACTACCTACACTAAAATGCAATGGCCTAAAATCTTTTGAAAAGGTTTCGAGGCTGCCTAGGATGATTGTTCTACAAGACTAGAAGACAAGTATATCGTAAATAGAATAACTAAAAATTAATACTTTAGGTGCTTATAATAGCATGCAATCAAAATAATTAAACTGAATTGAAAATAAGCAATTAAACTAAGAACAAATACGTGAATTAGAGACTACAAAGTTGAACCAAAACTAAAATTGATAGATATTAAATAAAAAATTATTTGCAAATGATAATGACTTTGTAAATATAGTAACTTACAAGTATAAAGAATTATGAGCAAACACAACACTAATTGGTACTTCAAATATTAAGAAACGAGATCTGCATATACTCGCAATGAGAGTGGAAACTAAACCAAAGATGAACTACCGACCTATTGGTATTATTTACTATTACTGTCTATAAACTATAGTCTACCGTATTTCAACTGTTAAAATAATTTCAGAGATGATGCCAATAATTTATAAGAGTATCGTTGCTATATGTATTTGTTATGTGTGATGCCTTATTGCAATTGGTGTTTATAACCTTTACATCCTTCTACATTCTTCTCCATTGGCCACATCTTTAGTTGCAGTGTCCCATAACTTTCTACCTTGAGAAGCAACACTTTATGTTTGTCTTGGGTTGCAGTGCTCTATGTCATCTTCTAGTATTTCTACTCATTAGTTGCAACGTTTCTACGTCCCTCGTGTGTTTCTGGTTTATGCTACTAGTCATTTGAACTAATTGCTCTTATATTCTTTTTAGTTTTTTCTTCTGGACTTGGTTTTCCATGTTTTTTTTTTTTTTTCATGATGCTTGGAGTCTATCAAATCTCATCGCCCTTCAAATATAACACTCTTCTGGACTTTTTTCATGGGTAGGCCTAAAGCCTTTATTTGTGGACTTAATGATATCAAATGCGTTAGTCACCTTTAATGGCCTATAACATGGGTTTTATGACCCAAGTTTCATTGGATTTTTTTTTTTTTAATTTGTTGGGTTGCCAAGCCTCAATTAAATTTGGGTGTAACAAATTCGTTGACATATATAGTATTGTTCTAAAAACATAGATTTTACTTTCTTAAATTTACTTAAGAAAAAATCAATACCTAATAAATAATATTTAATATATAGAGAATGCTACTAAGAGTCGTTTTTTATTGTTGCTAACGACATTCGTATGGTGTTACGTGAAAACCAATCAAATTTTTGATATTTAAAAAGCTGAGAAAGTAGGATAAAATTATATTCCTTTCAAAATATGTTTGGGCCCTAGGATCCAATAATATTAAACAAAACAAAAAAAAAAATCATGTCCAATTATAAATCTCAGTCAAAGCCCAAAACAGAAGTACAAGGAAAAAGCAGTAAAAGACGCAGATTCACTTTCCCGACAAAAAGGGACGATATTTAGCACGTGTGGACCCTCACCCATCTCCTTCAGACATTACGTCTGCATATCCTCCATGATTGTCATGTGCCTCAATTCATACATGACTTGATGAGCCACCTATATGAAGACCATCTTAGCGAAACCGAACAATTTTCTCTCTCTCTCTACTTCACTTAACACGCCATTCCAATCATTTTCTCTTCACAGTTTCACAATTATAATAATATTCAAAACATAAAATCTTTCTTGGGTCTCTTTTTTCATCCAATTCCACAGTGGTTTGAGCAAGAAATTTGTAAGACTTTTTTTTTTTTTTTGATAATGGAGGAGTGTTTAAATTCTAAAAAAAGAAAGACTCTTTCTTGTTTCTGCCATGCGAATTTTGCAACTCGAAAGCCGCAGTTTTGTATTGTAGAGCTGATTCTGCTAAGCTTTGTTTGCTGTGCGACCAACAAATTCACTCTGCAAATGCTCTGTCTCTCAAGCATGTAAGGTCACAGATCTGTGACAATTGCAGAGCTGAACCTGCTTCAATCCATTGCTCAAATGATAATCTTTTTCTTTGTCGAGACTGTGATTGGGATTCACATAACAGCAGTTTTTCAGTGTCTTCCCTTCATAATAGAAATCCAGTTGAAGGGTTCACGGATTGCCCGCCAGTTATTGAGCTTGCTTCTTTGTTTGGGTTTGATTTGAAATCTAAAGTTGTTGCGGGTTCTGATCCTGGATCATGTCTGTTCGAGCAAAAAGTCGCTAATTTTCAAGATTTTGTGGTTCCAAGTGGTGATTCCTCTGTTTTTTCAAGTTCTGGGAAGAGTAGGCAAGGAGTGTATGAGCAGTTAGTGGAGCTGGGAAAGAGGGGAATGGTGAGAGTAAATGGAGATGGAACTGAATTGGGGCCTCTCACACCACCTAGTAGATGTGCAGGGCAGAGGAATTTGGAGAGTCTTGAATTTGAGAATGGGGATGAAGAATCGTTGCACCAGCAAACACCATTTACCTCTTTGCTTATGTTGCCAAATCATGTAGATGCAACAGAGAGTGACTGTGTATCTGATCTAGATTTCTTGTGGGATTGCAGTTCTACTTATCAAGAAGCTCAGGTTTGAGGCAAAACATTTAGATTGCTTTGTGTTATTATGATTTTTGTGGTATTATGATTTATTAAGGATTGAAATGTGGGAAATAGTATTTGCTTCAAGTTATAAAAACGCTTGCTGTTTTTATCGTCTGAAGAAAACGTGATCTATGTGGTTCACCTTCATTTCTGCCCTTTCAGGTATGGGATTTTCAAGTTGGAACATCAAAAGATTGTTCAGAACCTGGTCCACAAGGAGAAGGATATGATGTAAAGGATCCTGGTTTCGTGATCAAGAACTATGTCGACTTTACTGAAGAAGGTGCCTTCACAACACAGAAAGTAATGGGTGATGCTCATTTGATGAGCCGCTGCTCTACAACTAGTGAGGATAACTTCTCAAGAAATGTAAGCTACTCCACTGAAGTTAAAGTCAGCAATTACATATCCTGCTGCTGTATGATTTAATTCAACTGCTATTAGATAATTGAGTAGAAACTTTTCTATTTGATTCGATCTGATGCGCAAACTTTGGCTTACATAAATAGAAGATGTTAGCTTGTGTTGGGTGGCATCTAGCCATTGTCTATTTGTAAAATCAGCATCTAAACGGTTAAACCTGAATCCTGATGTTGCTTGCACAGCTTATCTGTTGGTCTTTTTTTTCCCTCCTCACACGCCTGATACTCTTAGCAGAACTAATCTGTTAAGATTTGAATCCATAACCTCTTGTTACAAGAGACCACGACTACTACTTTGGACTACAAGCTCTTTGGTAATCTGTTCGTCTTGAAACATGAATAACAGGTATTAATGAGATTCTTGTCAATTACAGAGTTTCTCCAACCAACAATTGTCAAGTTACAAACCAGCAACAGAAATAGGACTGTCACCGGAATCGATGACAGGTGAGCCCAAAACATGCAGTAGCACTGCACATATCCAGGTCACGGATCAGCCTTTTCTCGCATGGATTGAGACTCTAAATGAGACGAAACAAATGGGTGACGCAGAACTTTTTGCACAGAACAGAGGCAACGCCATGTTGCGGTACATGGAAAAGAAGAAAACTCGAAGGCATGACACTGATACCTTTTGCTCATCTATTTGTATCCTGTCGCTCTTTAGCTAATTTCATTGACCTTCAAAATTTTTAGTAAATTCCAATTGGTGTGCTTAACCATGAACAGATACGATAAACGTATCCGTTATGAATCAAGGAAGGCTAGAGCTGATACGAGAAAGCGAGTGAAAGGGCGATTCGTGAAGGCAAGCGAAAATTACTGATGTTGAGATGTAATAGTTTGTAAATACATCTTCCCTAGATTTTCCCACTACAATCTGCAGCCTCACAGCGGTTTCGTTTTACTTAAATAAAGTTCTATATCTGTTTATCAACTGAGGATGGAGTTCACTGGAGAAATATGTCTATATCTAATGTGTTCTCTAGACCCAGTAAGTTTGGTGCCCGTTTTTCGCTCCTGGCAAGTCGTGTTCGATGCAGAAAGCAGTCAGGAATTTGGACATGTTTGCATATATGTTTTCTTACTTTGATGTGTTAAAAGCTACATGGTTTGTTGTAATAAATTACATGTAACAATTTTTTTTTATAATATTTATGTTATTATTTTATGATATTGGTATAGATTTATTTTGATGCATGTAAAAACATTTAATGTTTATTATTAGCATATATGAGGTTTGTTAAGGAAACGAATACAATGAGTGTTTTTTTTTTTTGTAAGATTAATCAAAAACATTGGTTTTCTAATTGGGTATTTGGGTGTCTGCACTACCTTGCAGGTTAAATAGAATTTCTAGTTGATAACTCATAATCTTAGGTGTCTATTAAAATATATTAAACCTAAGGTTGAAAAATAAAACTAGATTTTTTAATTTTTTAATCAAAATTTTGTATTCAAACAATTCTTCTTTATGTTTTATATAAAATTTTTACTTAAAAATGCATGATTCTTTCTTCTTTGTGTGTTAATTTTTGAATAAAAATTTATAATAATCAAAATTGAAAATTTAATCTAGAATTCAAAAAAATGCTTCAAGAATATATTTTTCATAACATATGATTGTAAAAAAAAAAATAGAACTACAATTAATGTATAAAAATTAATACATAACAATAATTTTTTTTAAACAATCATGTTTTAAAAAATTTATTCTAAAAGCTATATATAGATAAATATAAATTATATTTATCAACAATTTTTTTTTTTAAAGAATGGATGAGAGTGTTCATAAAAACAAGACAATTTAAAAAAATAAATTTTAAAATAATATAATTTAAAATATATGTTAATTTTAAAATATAAAAATATATCACATATATTTTATCTAGTTTGTCACGTTGCGTAAAAAACACAAATAATAATATTGCAGGCCTGCATGCTAGACTAAAAAAAAAAAAAAAAATCCTCTACTTGCGAGGCAATAGACAACGCGTTGTCCGTCTACAATTTCTAGAGAACTCCATTTCACTAGAAAAGTAGGCAGAAAGTTGAGTATGAAGTATTCGGTTTTTTCAAATCCAAAAGCCTAAAAACACCTCAAAATCACAGTAATAACGTCAACAAACTTTTTTAAAACCTTAAAACCTATTTTAATAGATATAAAATACACAAAAATCTAAATCAAACTAAAATAAAATTAAAATATTTTTAAATTTTGATCTATCTCTTTCAATCATTTCATAATTTATAATTATCACAAACATATATTACTCTCTAATACGAATACATTGATGGTTAGTTCGATGAATGAGGTCGTTAGAACGAGCATCGTTGTCCCTCCCTCTCTTATCCCTTCTCTCTCTTTTTGTTTTTCTCTCCAATTATTTAGTGACCGCAATGCGACAAAAATGAAGTTTGAAATTAAAACGGAAGTTTTTGAAAAAAATGAGAGAACAAGTGCAATATATATATTTTTTTTTTGGTACCAAACAATAGAAATACACCCTGTCAGTAAGTGCATGTGAACAATTTCAATATGTGTGAGCGTGCAGGAAACAAACCTTAATTGCTACAATGAATGATCATTTTATTTTAGTGTTTTAATTTATTATTAAAAATGAAGTATTTCTTGGCTCATCACTTTGCTGTATATTTGGCTACCTGCAGTATTGGCAATAAATTTTCATAGCTATATAAATCCTCCCAACCGAGGAAGTGCCGAGAAGGTAATAATATGTTGAAATCAGTATATTTCTGAAGAACTATTACTTCGAGCGTTGTATACATGCCTTGTCGACATGGAGGAAAACCTGTGTTTGGGCAAAGCATCGTCATTGATGCTTTGGCCAGAGATGGTTGTGACCTGCATTGGATCACAGAGATGAATGATGCTTTAATAGCCTTGTTCTTTAGCTTTTATTAGAGAATAAGTGCTTACTCAGACCACAATGCTTTAGTTTTGTAAGGATTGCCCTTTGGTTTAACAATGACAATGTCTTAATGGAGAACTCAGCAGCCAGCTGGATCTGGACTTGCTGTATATGATGGAGGTTGTTGAGAAATTGAATGGCTTCCATAGCCAATAAATATATACTGCTGTCATTGTTGGAAAAAAAAGATAACAATTACAAAATTGAAGACGAAAACAAAAGATCGTAGTATTTAATTACATCATATCTACTATAATACTGTAAGAATTTTAACAATTCATCTTTACAAAATTGAAAGGACTATTACATGATTTGTTAGTTTTAGATTTTTGTTTGATGGCTGCAATTTGGGTTTGCTAGAAACAAAATTGCAAGGTTGTTAATAAAGATCACAGAAGGATTGATATTTGATTATTGATGGAAGCACCGCAATGTTGTTACACTACCAAATTTCATGATTAGCATTAGCAGGCTCGTGATTTGGAAATTTCTTTAAAAGCTTTTGATGGGAAATTGATCTTCTTTGATTGATAAATTTTGGGTGGCTTGTTAACCAAAAAATTGTTGATCTCGAGAATTGACAACAGAACCCAATGGTATGGTCTTTTACAACCTACTAAGCATGCTTCGATCAAAGGGTTTTTTTTTTTTATGCAACGTTAAAATTTACAATTCATACTCCCTAATAGATTATCAAACCCTAACAAATATAAATAATACAATCAATTCCCACCATTATCAAACCCTAAAGATCATTCAGATAGTAGAGGAGAAAGTGAATTTAGGAAGTTCTAGGTCATTGGATGGCATAGGTGAAACTTGAAAAGCAATAGATTTAAGCACAGGGCAAATGGGCTAGGCAAATGTGGCCAGAGAAAAGCAAATAAATTGGACTGGTAAAAGAGAAAGTCTGGACTTAGTTGATCCTTGAAGTAAAGCTCATTTGGGTTTAGTAAAATACACGCACACTAATACTAGAAGATCTTTTTAGATAGCACGGTGACAATAGGAAAGTTCCAAAGTTATCAAAGAGTCTGTGATTCGATAATAACAGTCTTTTATAATAAAAAATTACATATTTGAATATTAACATATTAGTTTTGTTAGGAGTCTTTATGTGTAAACTAAAAAATAAAAAATAAAAAATTCTAGAGTTAGGCGCAGCTCGATTTCATAAAAAGAACTTGGTTGCTACGTAAAGTAAGCTTAATTGGGCTTAGTGAAATATAAATCTATATCTTTTATAATTTGAAAAACAGACAACAAAAAAAAAAAAAAAACCATTTTAATAACAGTTAAAAGTTTTTCCATCCAATCTACATGTGTTCGTTAAGTATTTTTTTTTTAAAGTGTCAAAATAAACTTCAATTTAATTTAAACAATAATTTTTACATTGGATTATAGTAAAATTTCAAAATTTTCTGTTTATATAAGTTAGTGAAGTGAAGTGGAGTGAAAGAATGAAAATTGTTAATGATTCCATGCTAAAATTCTGTTTTAGTATATATTAGGATATATTTTGATATTTTAGAAAGAATTATTTTTTTATCCGCACTACGCTACGGATCAAATAGAATACATAAAATTATTTTCAAAAAATTATTTCAGTTTGACGTTCCGTGTTATATTGTTCGTCTACCAAAATATATCAAATTAAATCTAAATAAAAATTCATTCAATTTTTTAATCAAAATTTTGTATTTGACCGATTATCTTTTATATTTTTCATAACTTTTTTTTAATTAAAAAACATTATTTATTTATCTCTATCCACGTTTTCACTAAAAATTTTATAACAATATAAGAAAAAAAAAGTCCAAATCAATGGATTCTTAAATAAAAACTTATTTTGTGAATTATTTTTTTCCTAGCCATCCTTTTGCCTTTAAATTTTTAATTTAAAAAATAGAGAAAAAAATAAGGACCGAGGTAATTAAAATGAAACAAAAAAAAATTGAAAGTCGACAATATTTAAAAAAAAATCAAAATATAACATCACAAAAACTTTCATAATAAATATTTTTAAAAAATTTAAAAACTAAAAAAAATGTCGTTTCATAGTGAAATAAACCATACATATGATCTTATATGAATAATAAAAATAAGTATGCATGAATAGTATTTAGAATAATTATAATGAATAGTAAACCAACATTTTACTTTATTTTTTTGTTAACCACTTAAAATACAGGTAAACTGAATATAAAATTTTAAATGTTACTATTAAAGTTGAATAAATAGAAAGGTGACATTGTTTGGTGTTGATAACATTTAGAATATAAATCATTGAAATCAAAAAAATTGAAACTCAAATAATAAAAAAATAAGAATGCCTTAATTAGGAACTAAATTGGAGTTCTTTTTTCCCTTTTTTATTTTTCTCCTACTTTAAGCCTAGATTTATTATCGTCCCAAACAATTGCACATTATCAATAAAACTAAAGCAAAATATAGTTTTACTGTTCATCCACTATTTGAAAACTATTTAACACTCATAAATCACTATTCATACACTCACAAATCATTATTTCTTTCACTATTCATGATATTTTTGTAACATTTTGGAATAAATTTTTAGAATATGAGTATTTTCTTTTAAAAAATATATTTAGATAATTTTTAAAATATAATGGCATAATATATATATATATATATCTGAAATAAATCTTTAGATTAAAAGTGTATTTCAAATAATTTTTCTCAATTTTTTTATATTATTTAAAATTTACTACATTAATTTGTCCTTTTTTAAAATTCTCTCTCTCGTTTTTTTTTTCAATTTCAAACTTTGATTATACTTGTAATTTGGTCTCATTTTGTTTTAGATTTTTTTGTTAATTATTTTTATTATTTAAAATTTACTATGTTAATTTTTTATTTTTTAAAATTATTATCTAATTAATTTAAAATTATATTTACTAACAATTTTGATTTATTTTTCTATATTATGGATTTTGAAATAAATTTTTAGAGCATGATTATTTTTTTTGAAAAATAGATTTAGATAATTTTTAAATTATAGTGATATGATTAATATCTATAATTTATTTGAAATACATTTTTAGATTAAAAATGTTTTCAAATAATTTTTTTCTCAATTGTTTTTATGTTATTTGAAATTTACTATATTAATTTTCATTTTTTTTTAAATTCTCTCTCTATTTTTTTTTCAATTTCAAACTTTGATTATATTGTGATTTGATCTCATTTTGTTTTAATATTTTTTGTTAATTATTTTTATTATTTAAAATTTACTACTTTAGTTTGTCATTTTTTTAAGTTCTCATCCAATTAATTTAAAATGATATTTACTGATAATTTTGATTGATTTTTCTATATGTATGAATTTTGGAATAAATTTTTAGAACATGATTATTTTTTATTTTGAAAAATAGATTTAGATAACTTTTAAATTATAGTGGCATGATTAATATAAAAAATTTTTCTAAAATACATTTTTAGATTAAAAGTGTATTTCAAATAATTTTTTTTATTTTTTTATAGAAAAAACTCAAATTAATTAATTAATAGTTGAAAGTCAAATTAATATAGTTTTTTTATTTTAATATTATTCGTTATTTTGTAAATGGATATATAAGAATTAAATTCACAATTTTTTAAAAACCAATATTCTCATCAACATTAAATAAAAAAATATTTGTTCAAGTCTATGTAAGCTTTTAATAATTGTTATTTACGTATTTCAATATAATCTTATGAAATACTAAATAGTTTTTTATAAAAATTATTTATTTTATTTTTTAGTTAATAATTTATGGATTAACAAAAATAAATCGTTTTTCTAAAAGAAAAATTATCAAAAGCACAAATAAAAAATAATTAAATACAAAATTTTTTATTAAATATATTTTTTTATTTTATATATTTTTATAGATTCACGTCATAAAATAGATTATAAAACTGAAATAAATTTTTTAAATAATTTTATATATTTTACGATAAAAAAACTAGTTTTTAACTACACTCAAATTCAAAATCAACCCGCCCCCTGGTCCTAGATCTCAAAGTTATCAGGCTTACGGTCAAATAGTTCGGAAGTGAGACTCCAGTTTCAGACTTGAATTGAATGCTATGTCAGCGATATTAATTTTTTTTTAAAAAAAAAACACTAAAAAGGCCAAAAAAATCTGAAAAAAAATCCAAAAATTCTCCCTTTTTTTTTTCCTTCTACCTTTATGTATAAAAATAAATAATTAATTTTATTTAAAAAATTGTATGGAATGATAAAATTCAGATATAAATTAAAAATAAGAAGATGCGATTATTAAAAAATTTAATGAAAAAAGCAATTAATATAAATAAAAACAGTAAAATAACATTCTGATCTTTAATTCCAAAATCATTAGGCTTGTGGCCTAATAGTTGGGAAGGGAGACTTGAATTGAATGCTATCATCCAGGTACCAGGCTGTCTTGTCCTGAGTAACATGCTGCATCGGTAATCTGCTAATTTCATTTTCTTTCTACCTATCCCATCATGCACGTACACAGGGAGCTGGCAGCCTTATTAAACCTAGCGGAATTGACGGCAGATCTATCCACAACACCACCGTACGACTACAAGTTTTTTTTTTTTTTTTTTCCTGTCATAAACATAAAAATATGAGAAGCAAAACGCACGGAGATGTAAAATAATTTGAACCCATTACACATGGTCATGGAGCTGTGGAATAATTTTGCCTTGTGATCTATGAATTAATGTCTGGACCACAGAGCCCAGGAACCCATATTGTGGTTCTCTGCATAAGTGCGCCTAAAAGTCTTAAACAGCATTATTATGCTTAACCATGTGAAGAGATTTTGAAGCTTTCAATCAAAAAAAGCGTTTCAACCAAACTAGGGCTATTGTGATTTTATTGGATTTTGTACGTACCAAAATTTCTTATAATTTGAGTATAATTTAAATTTTATTGATTGAAATCTTAAGTTTTTTTTTAATTCAATTTAGAGTTCTATCCTAATAATTTACGAGATGAGCTCTCTAATTAAAAGATAACTGTAGTTGTTACTAAGTACACCAACCAATCAAAACAGTTTTTGTTCAAATGAACCCGGTTTATGTAATTGTTTTTCAGTAGCTAATAAGTTTTCAACACTTAATTGAAAAGCCACTAATTACTTTCTTGTTTATGGATACCATTACATGTTATATATATTTTTATCTACAAAATAATCAACAATGTTAGTATTAAAAAACTATATTTGAATAATTGGATAGTTCTTTTAAAAAAATATTTTAATTATTTTATTTCAAATAAATTGATTCTATGATGTTTTAAAAAAATATTTATAGCAAATAGTTAGTGCTATGCGTGAAGATGTATAATTAAATTTTAATAAAACCAATTATTCAATAATTTTTTTATACGTCTTGATCATACTTAGTGGACTAAAATAAGTTATATGAAATACACTTTTAATTTGTTAGATTAAAATAATTATATGTTTATATATAAGAAACTATCATTTAAAAATTCTAAAAAAATGATATATATCATATCATTTTTTTAATAGAGAAAACAATTTTTTAAAAAAATTTATTCTAAAATCCAAATATTAAAAAAATATTTATTAGTAATAAAATTTAATTAAAAATATTTATTGAATGAGGATTTTCATAAAAAATGATAAATTTAAAAAATAAATCTTATATAATAAAAATAATATAATGTAAAATATATATTAATTTTAAAATATATAAAAATATTATATATTTTTTATCTTCGCCGTGTTGAGTGAAAAAAAAATAACGCTCGATAATCCATAAATTTTGCTTAAAAATTCTTTAAAAAACAAGAGCAAGGAGAAAGCCCTCGTGCTTGGGGCTTGAAGCACCAGGCCCGCACGTGGCTAGGCTCAGAGCACCAGGCTCGCGCAAGCCTAGTAATAAAAAAAAATGTCCGCTTATCATTTTTGGCAACCTTTGCAATTTTTGGTGACCAATTTTGTCGACAAAATCATCAGAAAGGCAATTCTATTATTTCTGATGTCCCAAAACCAATTTCAGTCCAGTTTTTATACAAAAACACCTCAAAATTATTGAAGTAATATTAAAAAATTTATTTAAAATCTCAAAATTTATTTTAATTGACACAAAACATATAAAAATTTAAATTAAATAAAAAAACTCAAAATATTTTGTTTTTTCAATTTACTTCATTCGATTATTTTATAGTCTGTGACCAACATAAATAGATTATACTCCTCAAAACGAACTGATTGATAGTAAGATTGGCCCGTCGGAATGGCCGGAATAGGCACATTGACTCTCTCTCTCTCTTCCCTTCTCTTTACCTTGTTTCTCTCCCCTCTGAAGATGAAGATGCAGGGAATGAAAATTAATGAAAAATGAAATATTGGACCGAAAATACATTGTTCAGAAATAAAGGAACAAAGGGAATATTTTTTACAACACTGGTGAACAGTAGATGCTACAGTAAATCCATATTTAGTATATTGGTTAAGAAGATAGTTGTCAAATGTACTTCCACCTTTATCTTGAAAACAAATAAATAAATAAAAACAGAAGGAGATGATAGAGGCTTACTTGTCGTTGACAAAACCAGAAATGGCCATTAGATAAAAAGAAGGAAAAAAATAGTAATTAGTAAACATCAACAAAGGAGTGATTAACTAAAGTTTGCATGGATTAAAGAACTAATATTAACACAAGTTGACGTTAAATTTTCAAAGAGTTCCTTTAACAACGCAGAGACTTCTACGACTCCTCCATGTGAGCTATGTCTCGGTTCCTGAGCTTCCTATTCTCAGATTCTCTCTCTCTCTCATGCCATCATCATTTATAATGCGTCCCCGAAGCTTCACATTTTCATCCACTCCGCTCTTCTCTCTGCACCAATTGTGAGTGATCAAGATCTCTTCTTTTGGTTCTTTTGTGCTTTGTTTATTAACCATGATTCTTCCTGCTCCTTTATAGCCCACTACTCCATTAATGCTCCTCTCTCTATTATTTTATTAGTAATGTCTGTCTTTATTGTTCTTAATTAATCTTTAATACTTGATAGTTCCATTTCTTGTTATCTTCTGCTGATACTTCATATATACCTGTCTTGTATTTGTATAAGAAGCGCTGTTTGTTTTTGGTGCACGTACTGCATAATTTTTTTAATGAAAGTGAAGCTATATGGAGAGTTTCTTACGTGATATAATTTTTGTAGAATGCTAAATTATTTGAGAGAACTTGAAAGAAGAAAAAATGGGGTGCAGTGCTTCTATGTATGCAGTCGGGAAGAGAAAGAAGAAGACAAGTATACCAGAAGTGGTAGTGTATGTTCCTTCAATGAGAATACCAGCACAATCTGATCTTCAAAGGCCACTTAGAGGGTTAATTCCACAAGATCTTGTTGATAGGTTGGCTTGTCTTCGCAACCAGATTGTGTTAGTGGCTGAGGAAACTGGTCTGTTATTTCTCATATTCGTACCGATAATTTTCTTAATTTTGTGTTTTCTTCGGTTGTTTTGGAGAAATAGGAAAAGAACATATTTTATAGTAGCTGGGAATCGTGCATTTTAGTTGTTGGAGGGGACTTATGGATTTTTTAAGAATTGAAGGGGAAATTAAATTGCAGTACACATTGTGGGCATCGCAGGTGGATCTGCTGTAGCTGAACTGAGAAGGGCATTGGAAGGGTACTTGTCTCTTCTTATTGGGCTCACCAAGAAAGGTATTGAGGGTTAATTTTTATGTTCAGTCTTTTGTGAGTCTCTTCCATGTCTCTTTTTCTAATGAATTGTCTATGTATCTTGCAGAACATGGACTTGAGGACTTGGTGGAGTTCAAATGGAAAAATCTGGTCGATGGCCGGCAGGTAAGACCATCAAATTCTCAACCTCTAGCTACTTCTGGAATTCCTTTGTTGCCAGTAGTAGACTGGTAATTTGAATTGAAATATGATTGAGCAGGAAAACTCTGTGGCAAACTCCGGGTATGAATTACTATCTGCCATTCACATGATAGCAATGCTTACTTTGTCGGAGGCTAACTCATTGATGATCCCTAAGGATCACTCTGGTTCTGGCATTAGGGTTGTATCATCTTCAGGTTCACATTCTTATCCTTGATGCTCTATGTTTAGTCTTGAATTACTAAGATACAGATCTTTTTGTCAGAATCTCAATGGATTGTGATTAATCTATAACATAAAACCCAGATTGTAAGAGGGATGCTGTTGATTTACTGCTTAAGGCATCAGGAACCTTGGTCTTCTGTGTCCGTGAAATCTTGGCTCATTTATCACCAGATGTCAAGTATGTAAAGAAAGATGCAGACTTGAGGATTTTTCCTGGAATTGAGTCGATATGTAAATGTTTGTAATTGATTCTGTGTACTCAGGAAAAAGTTTTCAAAAGACTTCCAAGATGGTGTCCTGGAGGCTATATCCATTCAAGCGCTAGGCCAGGTATAATTCCAGTCGACCTGCAATTGTGTTAAACTTCTGTGGTTCCATCAACATGCAGACTAACAGACATTTGGTTACCTCCTCTATTTTGTAATGATCAACTCTAAAGCAAGGTGTCTGGCATTTTATCATTAATGCCAATTAGTGAAAACTAATACTAATGTCAAATTCAGGGAACTGAAATTCAGCTTGGTTTAGCTGTCGAAAGTCAAAAGGCTTCTTTGTCGGTGAAGAGGAGGTTAGCATGTGAACAGCTGATCTACTTTGGTCAGGTTTGTGATTACGCTCTAATTCTTCCTGTGACTTGAACTGGTCAAGCTCCTGTACAATGCTCTAGTGCATTATTTTGTGGGTTATGATTTCGGAATCCTCTCTTGGTAGAGTTCACCAATCAGCTGAGGGAACAGATGACTTTCACTTGAAATATGCTAGAACGCTATTTTTTTGAAATATCTTTCTTGATTTATTTGGTAAACTTTTACTTGTTTAGATATTAAGCTCAAATACCTTCTTTGTTTCTCAATTCTCATCATTAGTGTTCGTCTCTATGCTTGTTCAGGCTTATCACTGCTTGCCAGAGTCTGACACGAGCACTGGGCGTGGAAAGAAGCATCTCTGGTTCATCAAGTGGAAGTTCCTTGAAGCAAAGGTTTTCATCGCAATCAACTCTAATTCTGGTTACAATATCAATCTTAGTACTGCATTTCATAATTTTGCATCAACTAATTCGATCTATTCCATATAACCTATCAGGCTGCAGCTTACTACTACCATGGTCTGATCCTTGACAAGGGCACTGAACCAGCTTGTCATGTTACTGCTGTGTGCTGTTTTCTAGCTGCAGATGGACTTCTGTCAGAGAGCAAGAAGGCCTGCTTAACCTTTTGCCTAACAGCTCCTGTTACCAGGTTGGTTTTGATGATGTTCATGAGAAGCACTAAGAATGAGAATTGTTTTGTTATCCATGAAGTTTTATTTTTGCTTATTTCTATGAATTTTCTTGAAGATCTCCTCCGCTTTGGGGTGCAATGAAGCACTTGCATCAGAAAATTCCTGAAGTTGCAGCAAGGAAGTCTCAGATGTATGGCTACCTCTTGGAAGAAGAGAAGTGAGTGGTTTCCTACTTGACCTTCATTTGTACTTCAGTTCATCTTATTTTGTTTATAATTACTGTCCAAAAGTTGAATTTTAGAAAAAATATTAAGTAAAATTCTAACCATTGTTAATGGTGTAGGGCTCTTCAAGCACTGCCTGACCTACCAGATTTCCAATTGTCGTTAGCACCTGATGATTACGTATTGCCTGAAATAGACCCAGCATGGGATCGCAACAAGTGGGAAATCCAGAGCCAGGCCTTAAAGGAGCACCTCAAAGATTCTGAAGATGAAACTGAGTCTGAATGAAACACCTCTTCTTCTGTGTAATTGGATTTGTAATCCGATGAACTGAAAACTATGCCATACAAGGCTAATACAGTACCATACCTTACCATAGGATACCAACAAGATACTTTCTTCTTCATTTGTCTCTTATATTTCCAACATCTATGTAAATTTTAGTATTAAACACTGTCTAATAAAACCTGTAAGAGTTTATATCACTGGAAACATGGTGTTCTGTTTTGAAGCAAGACAAAAACAAGAACCGAAATCTTTTTGCATGCTTGAACCAGGCACCGGAAGTATCTTTTTGATCAGTAATCACCATTTAGTGATTATCCAGAGAACTTCTCAGCAGTTACCGAAATCTTCATCTAAGTTCATATGTGATTTCTAACTCATGATTTCCTGATTTTATTGCTATAAGGTACAAACAGTTAACTGCTGCAATAACATTCTTTCTTAGCAAATATAATTTGGGCATGGTGGATTCTGCAGAAGTGGCTAAGAATTAACAGTCAATTGCGAGAGTAGAAAATAGAAATAAAACATTATCCAAATGCCTTTAAGCTTAAAGGTCCGCGACATTCTAGTCGAAACTTAAAATTTACAACAATCAGAAACATAAATGTTTCTGCGTTCTATGCTATTAACAAAATGTATGTTCCGCAGCAATAATGTAGCTTCCAATTACAGACAATAAAACAAGACACCTCTACTCTACTCCCTCCCTCCCTGTCAAACAAAGAAAGGCATCCAAGACCAGAAATTAATCGGTTGTGGATCAGAGGCTCCCTTTTAACCATATTTCCCCTGTGTTTAATCTTCCAGGTCAGCCTCTCCTCTTCACTGTTCATAATTCGCTCGGTTGGGACATGAGTTTGTAAGCAGATAAAATGTTGAGTGCCAAGTAGCAAAAGAAAGCAAAATAAGATAGCACCGTAGATATCAAGATTTGGTGGCAGAACTTGTCCACGATATGGCAAACAGGAGACCAAAAAGTCTCTTTTTGCCCGTATTGACTCAAGTAACCTACAGCCGTTGCTGCTGCACATCCAGATATCATGAACACCGTCATCACCTGCAATTCATACAGATTTCAACCTCGCATCAAACTTATCGTGGTGCGTAGAATGTAATTGAAAGAGAGGAAGTATATGCTAAAGGGTCAATCTCCTTATAACAAAGGAAGTAAATACTAATTATAACATTTTATCAGTTACATTGTTGGAAAAATCTTTTCTCGTGAAGCAAATTTGCAGGAATGCAGACTTGTCATCTAACCCAAGATTTTGGTAATACTTGAAAACTATTAATCGGTAGTGTGATATGCCTTCCAAGAGATCATTACTTAGGGGAACCAAGATTTTGTTAAACTTCATAGTAGTCTTCTCCATCCAACAGAATCAAGCTTATCTTATGTTTCTGATGATAATTAATTAAACCAAGAATACGTTGTTTTTTGGGTAAAACTATTTTATTTCTCCTGAAAGTTTAGATTTTCTTCTTGTCCGTTTCTGTGCCAAGACAATAAAACGTTTGGTGAATGAATTTAATTAGGTAGGTGACACTAATTTTTTTTTTTTTCCTGTACCTTGAAATGTTTATAGAAGAAGGTGAGAATTAATAAATATCGTAACTCATGTTTGTATTCATATTTTAGAAAAACAACATATATTCACTTACCATATCATGCAAATATAGAAAAAAATAATTGATAGGCTGTGATCCAGAGCGGCTTAGAAGCCCAACAAAGAGTAGTGACAGCACAGAAAAGGCACACACAGTTGCATCTGCACCAAGCAAAAACCTGCAAGACAAATCAGAAACAGAAAAGCTTATCATTTCTCCTTTCTAATTGATAATACATACTTAAAACTCTGGTTAATTACTTCATGGCAGAACTTTGGCTGTAACGTGGAGTAAAGTTCATCCCGAGAAGAGAGACTGGCTGCTCTGCAGTAACCATTATAGGGATGGCAGTGACTGTGAAAGCAATGGCTAAAGATCTTAGGGTGATTTGAGCCATGAAGAAGCTTCTTCCCTTTGATTGACTCGGGGTTGATCTGCCTCCTGGAGAGTTGGCTTTGAAATAGCTTTTTTCTGCAGAATTCTCTGCAGTAGCCATTGAAAAAACCCTGATCTCTGTTGTAGATTTTGAACAGCAAAACCAAAGACTGAGGGTACAGATAAAGGATGAAATCAAGGAAGCAAAAGGAGATGTTACTACATAGAAAAAGCTGTTTTTATGGGTTTTCTTCCTGGTTAAAAACCAAGGAAGAGAATGTAGTTTGATTTAAAGGCTGCGACTGGAAGCAGTAATAAATATGTGAACGGAACCCACCCACCCGACGAGTGACAAGTCATAAAAAATAAAAGCAATATATATATATATATATATAGATATAGAAGGGCTTTCAGATGCCAGCCCAATTTTTGCATCTTCTTTTCTGTTTCAAATTAAACAAAATTCAATTTTTCTAAGAATAATAAAAATTCAGTTTAAAAATTTATAAGAATAATTATGAATTTTACGCGTATTAAGATTTTGTATAATTTAAATTTTTTGATTAAGATCTTAAACTTTTTTTCTATCTAATTTAAGAGTTCTACATTTATGTTGTTATTGTTTCATACCTTAGTCTATAATAGCTTATCACATAAGCACGTGTGACAAGCTCTAGTCAATGTTAGCTTGCTACATCATCAATTTAATCATCCAATTTAAACCCATTATGACACATGATAAGTTGTTATTGGTTATAACGTATCATAAGTGCTTACGTGGGACATTAGAGTTTGAAACAACAACATAAAAATAGAACTCTTAAAATGAGCATAAAAAAAAAAACAAGGATTTTAATTTTAAAAAAAATTCAAATTATATGAGATTTCTATAGCTGCAAAACCCGAATAATTATTATGAGATGAGTACTGCTAATATTACTGGATATTCTCGTGGAAATCGCTCTACAGAGAATCTTATTCAAAGATAAGTGGATTCTACTAACATATATTATCAATTCAATAGTTGACATTTTTGGGATATGATTTCAGAAAAATTAAAAAATGTTTCCCTGAGATTAAAATTATTCTATCAATTTTTTTTTATTAATTTTATAAAACATTACTCTGTCAACTTTACCAATATTTTTTGTCCATTTTTTTTTATAATAGTAGTGGACTATTTTTATTTTTTATTTTTGTTACTACACGTTGTTGCATATGTAATTAAGTTAGATTTATTTTTTTCATTTATGATAACGTGGCTCATAAAAAATTAATGATTATAAGAAAAAGAACATTATTTAAACACTGTCTAAGAATATAAGAAAACTAAAAATAGAAATAAGTATCCCAACTATCTATGGATCTATAATTGAAATAGAATACGAACTTCTATTTATACAAAATCAAGTCAAAAGGCATTATTTAATTACATTTATTTTAATTTTTATTTTATTGAATTGTGATAATAAATGAATAAAAAAATAAACCATATTGATTATATATACTAGATAAATATTATTTTATATGGTAAAATGTTTAATTGTTAATAATAAATTTTATAACAAAAAAGAGAAATGGAAATGGAATTGATTATTAACAAAGGCCCTAAGTACATTTGCGTAACCCTTCTAACAAATAAGTAAGATTCTATATTAGATTCAATAATAAATACAAAATCTATTTAAACTGCCTAGTGAATAAAGTAAATTTGATAAAAGTCATAATGTCACTACTAGAAATTTGAAATACAACGACAGGATTTTTCCATGGCTATATCTTAAAAATATGTCATTGACATAGTCACCGCTATTTCCTTAGTGGTGAAATTTTTTTTCGTTGCTAAAGCTATCATTAAACCAATATAAAATAGTTGTCCGTAGGTCTCATATCCGTCACCATTCCGTCGCAATTTTCACTTATTTATGTCACTAAATAGAGACAGAATGGGTGTCGTTAAATGATAGTCTCTAAAATCCTTGTAAAATCCATTACTATTTAGCGATCGTATATATCTCTCGTTACTAAATTACTTCGCTAATTCATCGCTAAACGAAGAAATTTTTTTAATGAGTAGTCAAATATTATTAATTGTAATAATAAACAACACTTTATTAAAGTATGATATTTTATTTAATAAAATTAAAATAGCTTAAATTGAAATAAATAAATATATAAATGTATTAAGGTGTACAAAAATATAATTTTTTTTTTAAAAAAACAAGACATTTAGTCCTCATTATCATTTTCTCTTGCATCATCTTTCGACCGCCGAGTGTTGAGAGAAACAACCGACGTCTAAGTTGTAAGGGGGTCAACAAAAAGTACTCAAGTCTCGTCGCAAGTCTTGTGACAACCTTATCACTCTCTACAACTAACTCTGTATGGTGTTAATTTGACTAGCTTGTTATTCGATGATAGCCTTCATCTCCTCGATCTTATCTTCGTACTAGGCAAAAACCTTCTAGATATTACCACCAAGATATCGTGAAGTGACGGAGGAGGAGCTAACATCAAAATGCGAGTAATACCGAAACGGTTGAGATCCGAGGCTATACACTCTCTCGCCTTTTCTCCCTTCGACAACATTCAAATATATCTTGGACATGTCGATATCTAAAGATAATGAATCACCTTTTTGTTGCTCCTTAACGGTTGTTTTTTTGCATTAACTTCATGCACTCCTAAGTTTAAAATAACAATTAATTAACAAGTTTTAATACATATAAAATTATAATTCAACCAATTAAACAAAATTAACATAATTAATTAAATATAACTTAAATTAACTTAACTTAATTAATTCTAATTTTAATCAAATTAAATTTAAAATAATAATTAATTAACAAGTTTTAATATACATAAAATTATAATTCAACCAATTAAATAAAATTAACCTAATTAATTAATTAAATATAAATCAAAATAGCTTAATTTATTCTAATTCTAACAAAATTAAATTTAAAATAAAAATTTCTAATAGAAATAAAATTATAATCCAACCAATTAAACAAAATTAACCTAATTAATTAATTATAAATCAAATTAAATTAATTAATTCTAATTCTAACCAAATAAAATTTAACATAACAATTAATTAACAAGTTTAAGTGTAAATAAAATTATAATTCAACCAATTAAAAAAAAATTAACCTAATTGATTAATTCAATATAAATCGAATTAACTTAATTAATTCTAATTCTAGCCAAATTAATTTTAAAATAGTACTTAATGAACAATTTAACTTAAAATTAACTTAATTAATTAAAAATCAATTTTGATTAAATTTAAATAGCATTTAATTAAAAATATTTACCTAACAATTAACAAAATTTAACAATTTAACAAATTAATCAACATATTAACCTAAAAATTAACAAAAATTAATAATTTAACAAATAATCAACAAAATAACAATTAAATATATACAAAATTATAAATCAAGCAATGAAACTTAAAATTAACATAAGAATTATAACAAATTACTAACTTTAGGAAAATAAAAGAGAGAAAAAACTTACCTAATTTAGGTGGATTATACCAAGAGAAGAAAAGAAAATCAAGGTTTTTTTTTTAATTAAAAAAAAAAAGAGCTCTAGTAGGTGCGGATTGATTGAGAGTGGACGTGTAACCCCCGTGAAAATCTTTAATGAGATATATATATATGACAGAATATTTGTGTAAATGTACATTAAGTATGAGTGCAATCGTATGTATCATTTTACCTGTTTGGTGATGATAATTATTTAGCATTTTTGTGAGAATTTTAGGTGTGAAGTTTAAGACAAATTAATTAATTACCACTCATTATATATTAAGTACTTGGGACATATTATACAAGTGAAACATGGGTGTGTAAAAATTTTAGAAATGTAGGAATATTTTCCTTGGAAATATCGAATGAAAGGGAAAGGAAATTTCGAATTTTAGAGGGGAAATTTATGAAGATTTATGAAGGAAAATATGTTTAGTTACTTGAACTAGATTGGTTAGAGTGTTTGGTTATTCTAACCAATTAATTAGGACACTAAACTCTCCCCGATTAATGAATTAAAATCAGCTCACCCTAAACCTCTCAAACCTGCTACCCTCTCTCTCATGACTCACCTATAGCTTTTCACTCTCCCAAATAAAATTAAGATATTTGTACACTTAATTGATGCTGAGATTTTAAGCATGTATATATATAGCATAAGTGAGAATGGAAGAAAAGTTTTAGGCAGCCCATAGCTACACAAACAAGAGAAAAAACAATAAGGAAACAGAAGAAGGAAAAAAAAAGGGAAAGGAGAAAAGGAAAGCAAAGCCAAGGAAATTCTAACCATGCCTAAGCTAAGTAAGTGGGTTACCTTGTTCTTATTTATATCATTTATTTAATCTTTATGTAATTGACTAAACATGTGTTTAGGTGATGATATGTTGTTGTGATTGGTTATGTTAATTGATTTTCCTTAAAATTCTTATTGGTATGGTTGGTCGTATTGATTGGTTGTGTTGGTTGCTCGCTCAAAATTTAGAAAGCCTTGTATATGGTTAAATTCATGTTTAGAGGATGTGAATGATGGAATTAGGTTATACAAAACAAGGGGGATAAATTTGAGACTTGTATAGACTTGAATAAAATGAAGTAGGAAGGAAAGGAAAATGAAATTTCAGTGGTTCCTCTTGGGTAAACTTTCGGGCCGAGAGTTACACGGCCTCCCACACGGGTGTGTCCTTGCCCGTGTAATGAAGAAATGTGTTTTTCTTCAATTCGGAGAGTTACACGAGCCTCCCACACGAGTGTGTCCTTGCTCGTGTAATGAAGAAAATTATTTTTCTTCAAGTAAAAGAGTTACACGACCTCCTACACGAACGTGTCTTTGCCCGTGTAATGAAGAAATGTATTTTCTTGAAGTTAGAGAGTTACACGACCTTTCACACGAGCGTGACACGGGCGTGTCCTTGCCCGTGTAATGAAGAAATGTGTTTTTCTTGAGTCAAACGAGTTACACGGCCTCCTACACGGGCGTGTCTTTGCCCGTGTAATTCACTAGGTACTCAAAATTCACCACCTTTACTTCACACTTGCTTGGTCTCCGTTCCTTTTCACCAAGATAACGTAATTAATGGTCAATTAG